TTGTGTTTTCCAAGTTGAGTATCAGGGTGTAGTTTTCATAGTATTGTAATACTCATCCAATCTCTCCCAACATTTTCCCAAATTTGAAAAAAAAGATAAAAACGTTAAGTTAATCTATTTTCCCCTTTCCCCCCTAAGTTCAGAGGACAATAATGAATCATTTATAAAGTGAAGTTTTCTTGAAAATCAGCTCATGTAAACCTTTCATCACCATTTTGTGTTCAAAATTCAAAATGCTTGACTGTTTGGTCTTGACACTGCCAATTTGTGTGGATTTGGGGAAAGCATGTAAATTATTTATTTGATGAAAATCAAGTATCGCTCCCCCTTAACAAAGCTAGAGTTGCACTGCCTGCAGTAGAAAACAGTACCACACAATTAATTGAACTCTTATGATAACATTTTGACTTGTTTATAAATGAGGAATTTGAAACTCACTCGAAGGTATATACAACCGAAAAACACAAGAAAATAATTTACCAAAAGTTAAGCTGTAAAATGCGATGAGGAAAAAACAGTCATTTTTCAAATAATGCCACAAAAATATTTCCAGTTAGTGCAAATTTTGTTGACTAAAAGGACACAACAACAGTATCGCACACTTTGATTTTTGTGAGGTAACTTTTCAAATTAAAACAAGTCGTAGGCTTAAATACATGCAGAAAACCCGATTATGAAAAAAAAAAAGGCCAACGGTTACAATTTGACAAACAGTGCCTTACCTTAAATGGGCTGATATAATCATCCCTGATAGTGGCCATCATCCATCAAAACCGTCAAGGAGTTCAGATTTAACTGATCGTGAATGCCAACATTTTCCAGATTTCTTCAGCAAGCAAAACGTTACACCTATGGTAGATCTTGCATGGAACAGGAAGTAAGGAACTATAGGTGTTTTATCCCAGCACAATTTATTGTACATTTTTGTTCCGGTTGGGAAAGATACACAAAGCAAAATTTCAATAACAAAACAAATCTATTCCTGGTTTTACGGTCATTCCCAACGCGGTCCTTTTTGGGTGGTCACGTAGATGAACTTGGTGGGGCATTTTGCCACGTGAAAATAAACATAGGTTACTGCGTTCATGCGTCCAACTAGTAATCTAAAAAAAATGTTATTCTTCCTTTAATAATTGTCATGACGGTGCAGGAATCTTAATTAGTGAGGGTCCATTTCCTTTTTGATACTGTTTGCTCTATTTTCAACACAACCAATACGTTTCAAGTTAGTGAAAGTCAAACCCTTAGCTCTCAAAAGAATTGATTTTTTTTAATGTGTTTGCATGAGGAGGGTAAAGATCGCTTATACTGATAAATGTTAAACACAGTGACTGAAACATTTTTTTCGCAATATCTCCAAGAAACTCACCTGCATTGCAAAAACTCTATTACAGCTTGTCAAAAACAATCCGATATGATTATTAGGGCTAAATAAGGTTTTGTGTTTTCCTAGTTGAATATCAGGCTGTAATTTTCATAGTATTGTAAAATCCACCCAATCTCTCACAACATTTTCGCACATTCGAAACATTCCAAACGTTGCCCTCCTTTTCCTCCTTTCCCTCTTTTTTTTCAGAATAAAATGTGGAATTTTCTTGAAAATCAGATTCTGTAACATTTTGAGCTTCCCATCAAGGTTCAAAATTTTTGTTTAGTTTATAGACTGCCAATGTGTGTGGATTTGGAGAATGTTTGTGAATTATTTGTTTGATTCAAGCCCAAGTTACTTAAATTGCCACTCCCTGTACAAAATTGTTGTATAATCTGCAGGTTGGAGATGTACTGCCTGCTGTGGCAAACCATAGCACAAAATTAATTGAATATAGTATGATACAATTTTGACCTAGCTGTTTTAAGGAGGGAACTCTACAGTATATAAGCTCACAAAATAGCTGTAAAAAATATAAATTGAAAAAAACTCACTTTCCAAATACACATCCAAATTTAATAGTAATTTTGTGAAACAAGAGTACCGAACCGTACTGAGGGAATTTTGCAAATTTCAAAAGAAAACTCGGGTACACTTAATCGCCCTTCATTCTAATTATACCAATTTTCCATGTATTGTTATTTGACTGAGTGGAAATAAAGTATTGATTGATGATTGATTGATTGACTTAAGACATGCAGGAAACCCGATTTTGGAGGGGAAAAATCCAAAAGTTACAATTTTAAAACACTACATTGCCTTACCGTACCGTTGGGCTGAGATCCGGGCCTCCCTGCCAGATGGAAGAGCGAACATCATCCATCAAAACCGTCAAGGAATTCAATTTAATTGATCGTGAATGTCAACAGTTTTCATATTTTTCTTCAGCAAACAAAAAGTTACACCTATGGAAGGTCTTACGTGGAACAGGAAGTAAGGAACAAGGTGTGTTACCCCAGCAAATTTTTATTTCACATTTGGATTTTTTTTGGTCGGTTGTGAAAGCCACACAAAGCGACATTTCAATGACAAAACACGCACACAGCATGCCTTCTATTTCCGAATTTTCGGTAATTCCCAACACGGGCCGGCTGCGTGCTTATGTACATTTGTATATGGAAATAAACATACACTGTAGGTTGCTGCATGCGTTCATGCGTCCAGCTAAATAAATAATCTAAAAGGGAAGTTAATGTTATTCCTTTAATAACTGCCATGACCGTGCATGAATCGTACACGCAAAGTACAGTGTCGGTCGAACAATATTTCGTATATTGCATTTTAAATTTTAAACTACGGAGGCATTTCAGAACTTTATTTTACAAAACAATTTGAGCTTATTATTTCTGTTTACAAGCTGTACGTGGTTTTCGGCAGGGCCAGTATAAAAAGTGAAGTATAGAAATAGTTCACTTTTGGGGGGTGGGAGGGGCGGAAGTCCAGAATAGATTTTTCAAAAAAATAAGAGCAAATTTTCCAAGTGTTTGTAGCATAAACTGAAAATATTTTCGGTGGAGCCCTACAGGGGAAGTCCCTTTCAATACCCTATCTCTTATAGAAAACTTTGACCTTGTAAATTTTTGAATGGAACGATACGCACTCGACCCTGTCACTTTTACAAAATCAGGTGTACATCTCATATCGAGGGCCTAGGGCGGAAATGTGTAAAATTACACAAAGGTATAATGGTTTCACCCATACGCAAGAGGGACACAAAAGCAGCTCGCAGGATTCTAATACTCACACGATTTTGAGGTCCTGTCCATCAAATTTTTAAATAATAATATTCAAATGGCCTGAAATCTATACCTGTTCCTAAAACTGTTTATGTTCTTTTTTGCAAGTATGAAAAGAATAGCATAATCAATTGGGGTCTTGGATTTGAGTACCCCCCTCCAGAAAATGGTATAATCATATAGCAATTAGTATAGATATTTACTGGAAAACGAGGAGTACAGTGTTCCTTTAACCATTTTCAAGTATACTGAGAAAAAGTATTCCAAGCTGTACAATCAGATTCTGCCGTGCAAGCTATGTCTGGATCACACTGAAACTTCAGTTCAACACGGCACTTAATAGCAAAAATGATAGCAAATTATCTAATTTATCTTTTTGTTAAAGTTGGTATATACGTGCTTTTCCAAAATTTCGATTTTCTTTTCCGAACGAAATTTAAAGGAAAATAATGTAGGCATTTATACAGTTTTAAAAAGTGGTTTTGGATGGCGCGCTCCAGTTCAGAAGTTGTATAAGCGTCCAGCTCTTAATTCAAAAGTTGAAATTAATTAATTGATAACTTGTCGTGGGCCGATTTTTTTTCGTGCGATGTCTCATTGGAAGGATCATAACTAATCTAATGCTATAAAATTATCAATTCAATTTGAAAATCTATGTTTCAAGGTGCCATACCCAAAAAGCACGTAATTATACACCAACTTTTAAGCAAAACGTCAAAACAGGTTGTTCTTAATCTGATCTTTAACCCTAAAAGGGCCGGGGGGCGGAATCCGCCCCCCTCCCCTCAACTTTTGCCGCGATAGCCTTGAAAAATGTGCCGCGCAGCGAAAAAGTTTCCGGGGCTACGCGCCGTGAAAACTGAATTTCCCCATATACGTAGTGTACACATAGCATTACCATTCGCGCATATGAATATTGAATTAGCCATAATTTCAAAACCCCTTGACCTATAGTCATGAAATTTCCTGGGTATGTTCATGATAAGTTGTTTTATGGATGTACTGAGTTTCATAATTTGTCGTCGCTAGATGGCCGAGATCTGAGGATTCCGCCCCCCCCCGGCCGCGGAGAGATGGTCAAAATAACCCGGCCCTTTTCGGGTTAAAGAAGATAGGTCACAGGTCTAAACTTCCACGTAGTCGTTGTTTCACGGTGTGCTTAACGACCCCTTGTTAATTGTCTCTTATCTGAGAAAAATACAGATTACATTTCCGGGTCACCGACTGTTGAAATTCGTAAATACCTTTGCAAGCCAGCCATCCTCATTGGGGAAAAAAAACATTCTTGTAAAGCAACGAGCTCTATACTATCCATCTGATAATAATGATAAACGTTTTCTCTCTAAATGCCCGCCACCGTGAAGGGCTTTCACTTTCTATATTAGCTCCATAATGCGATTACTGATAAAAAAAAAATGAAGAGAAACACACTGTACGAAAGGGCACAGTTGAAATTTATCAAGATTTGTGGCAATGATAGGCGATGAAAGGTATATACCCAGTGCGTGTTTGTCAAGCGTGCGTGAGGCCAATAGCCATGCAACGTTTGATTTCCCCCGTTCGGCCTCCGTCAACGCCGAAGTTAATTTGGCAAGACATTTACTGTACCAGAATTCATATTGATAAAGTGGCTTTTATTGTAGCCCGCTGCACTCATCGTATGTAGTACAAAAGTTGATGCACGCATCACCTCCCTGCATTAGATAGGTTCTGGAAATTGCTTTCAACCCGCCATCTGATCACGAGGTATACGGCACGTAGTATCGCAATTTCTCGAAACGTAACCGGAGCGGAGAATACTTGGGAGTTTTTGGTTGGATTTCCAGGAGATTGTCATCAGGGATTTCCGAGATGGGTTGACTGTTGAATTCCTATGATCCACGTTACAGAAATTGTGGTTCGGAGACAAGAGATGCGTCCTGTCAGACGCATAATGATTAACAATGACTGAAAAGCTGTTTGGTATAATAATGATGAATATAGGCCTATACCGTATAGCATAATGAAGTTATGGCCAGCACGCACCACATGCACAATACAGGAACCGGAAATTAGAACACTTTACCCGGATGCCAACATTGGCTCGTATTGCCCATTACTTGCTGTCCGGCGCCATTCCAGATTCCATTTGTAAAGGCCGCCATTTCAGGTTGGTGGATGAGACTCACGGGTTGACGCACTTCGGACGGAGCAACATTTTTTTGTTTTATAAAAAGGTGCATTTTGTCAACTCGCTGTTTGCACACATCCAGGTCAACACCAACGTGTGTTTGTATTCAAGCAGCTGTGACGAGGACAGAGAATATCATTCTGTATGTTTGTCCTCACGAATGATTTCAAAGGTTACAGTGTTAAGTGCCGCGGTTGAGGAGAGCAACTCTCGTCAGCTCGTGTCACTTTTTGCCTTGATGGTACAGTCCGCTTGAGCTTGCAAGATTCGGCGATAACACTCTCGAGACGCATTCGAAGATACGGCGTATACCACATTCATACTCGAAAATGTGCGTCGTGGGTGAAGGTGTCTGAACCCTAAAAGAGGATCGTTCTCTGAATCTCTGTGGGATTTTGAATGGACGACTCATCCGGATCTTGCTGACATCCGATAACACAGGAACGACCTGATGACGTCATAATATGGTTTGTAATTTGAGAAGCCATTTATAGCGGATTTTTTTTGTGGAATAGATGTATCGTCTATATGTGGGCTATACACAACGTTCGCATCAAGGAAACGTTGCCTCTGCCAACACAACACAGCAAAACTGTTTTGATCTCTGAAGAGGTTGTCAGGACCTGTGGACCCGATTCTACATTCCACGTTATCTTATCAAGACTCCCAAAAGTTTGATCTTGGCAGGCCTGGTGTGGAATTTTCAAGGGCTGAGTGCGCCGGAAACATAATTGGTGCCCAAAATGAAAATGACGATAATGTTCGATTATTCTGGTCCCCCAAATGGGACGGCTGACGATGGATTCGATGGCAGTGCTTCGCCTTTAACGGCTTTCACTGTGATTCAGGCGGTCGCCATCTGCATCTTTGCCTTTCTGACCGTAGCCGGCAACACTCTCATCATTCTCAGCATCGTGAGGTTCCGTGTCCTACAGACTATCACCTCTGCTTTCATCCTGAATCTAGCCATCGTGGACTTCTCGGTAGGAGTAACTCTGATGCCGGTGGCTCTAATCACCTGCGTCAAGCAGGACTGGATCCTTGGTGATGTCTTTTGTAAGATCAGCGGGGTGGTCAATATGCTCTTCCCCGTAGCTAGCATCTCGACCCTCTCAGTCATCGCGATAGACCGGTACTGTGCCATCATCAGACCCTTGAAGTACAACTCCTTCATGACCAGGCGAACTGTTACTGTTTTTCTGATCTGGGTCTGGGTTCAGAGTCTGTTGATCGCACTGCTTCCACTGACCCCCTGGTCTCAGTACAGATACGATCCAAGTGAGCTCCTATGCCTGATCGCCTGGGATTCCAGTGACCTCTCCTTCGCCATATTTTGCCTCTTCGTCTGCATCGTCGTGCCTCTTGGAGTGATGTTCTTCTGCTATTACCACATCCTGAGGGTAGCACGCCACCACTCCAGGCGGGTACAAGCCCTCAAGACGATTTCAACCAACGTCTCGGCTTGCAACCACGTCCAGGCGGATTCGGATGCCCATGGGGGTACACCACGCACAAGCGACACGCGACATGAGTGTCAATCCCACCGCTGCCACCAACATAGACCCAAGATCCGCATCGCGGCACGGGAAAACAAATCGACGGCCATGATGATGATGGTGGTGGGAACATTCATCTTAGCCTGGCTACCATACATTACAGGGGCTCTGTGTAAAGTGATAGCACGAGAGTGTTTGTGGCCGGAAAGTTACTTCACAGCTTGTGTGTTGGTGGCCATGCTACAATCCTCTCTGAATCCTGTCATCTATGGCGTCATGGATCGTCGCTTCCGAGGAGCCATGAAAGCCATCGTCACGTGCTCTAGCCGAACCAGTGTCGATCCAGTCATAAATCGTCCTCATTTCTCAACAAGTGTGCTCTGACCATTATTCCTAACTATTGTATAATTATTCAAATCGAGTGATGTCTGATCAACACAAAGTCGCGAGCGGTAGACGAGTTGTAAGAAGCGAATACAATAATGTGCAATTTACGCGAACTTTCGTCATAGCCTCATCAGTTATAGACCCATATTCGTACATGAAATGGTCTTCTATGAAATTTAAGTAAAGAACAAACCATGTTCTTACTATTTTGTCAGTAATTTATCGGTTCACTTTATAAGCATTGAAACTCTTGAAAATTCAAGTTCCAAAGATGCATGTAAGTTATAATTATTTATTCACGACGGTTGTCTATATAAAAGTGTAATTCAACAGCCATTCCTTAATTCTGCATCGCACAATAAAATTATGTGAGTTTTCATGAAATATTTGGTGTATGAAATTTATACTAATTGTCTTAAAATCAGTTCTGTAACAATTGGAGGAATATTTTGTAGTATCTGAAAAAGTCTTTGTGTACCTGTGACCAGTTTGCTGTGAGATACGTTACGGCAGATGGCATTTACCATCGGCAAACAACAATCGAGAAGATAGGCCTATGTGTATAGAAGTAGTTATAATTGGAATGATAAAAGTATGATATGTCATGGAATTGATGATAGGCATTTGGGAATGAAAAGGTGATTCAACGAGGTCATGCTGAACCAGACGCATATTAATGAGTGTATATCTGTATTAGGCTACTCGGACGTGTGGTTGAGAAGGGCGATCTCTAAACGTTACGTTACACTTTATTTTGAATGAAACTACATGCACACAGACATGTTCACACGTACGGGCGGGCGAAATCTTTGAAGATTAATTTTTCCCGTTTGGAAGACCGTATCTTCTTGCAACTTTCAGGGTTTATTTCCCTTATAATGATCCACGTATGTGCTAAAAATCGTTGTGATAATCATTACTTTTCGTTGAATTGGAAAAATAGGCCTGTCTACGTGCATTTTTAAAAGTTGTAACACTGGTGTTTGCAATATCTGTCAATCTTTTCAAGCTTCACGAATATTAATAAGGTTCCTATCCATTATGATGTATAAAGTAAAAAAAAATTACATAAAAGCCTCCTTCATGAGTTATTAATTAATAAACACACCCTTTTTGCCGGCTTCCATTGGTCGATACCGAGACACACACCAAGTCACGCCGCTTGACGCTAATGAATATGCTAATATGAGCTTCGTCATTGTGTTGCCGGGCCGAAATCGGTCAACCATAGCGCCTACGGTGCGCAGGGTCTTTGTAAAACCACGTGTTGTTTTGGTCGGGGAAAAAAATATTCGTCGAAATTTTCCTTGGAGATAGTTCAAGGTTTAACACTAGCGTTTGCAACAACAGATTAAGCTGAAATTCGGAAAATACTTAGATGATATAAGTGTTCAACTACTCGTGAAATAACAACTTGAGTAGATTCCTATAGAAATTGAGATAAATACATAGCTTTGGGGAAGTTTTCGAACGATTTCTTCCCGACTTAAAGGTCAGCTTTACCAGTAACCAGCATTGAGGTTTCGGCATCGATGACGGCGATTTTGTCACTGACATGAAGTTTAGAATTTTTTCTTCCGCTATATTTTAGCATTTCAATCATACTGAGCATAATTTCTGAGGAACACAACGTTCAAAATGCCATGATTTTGGGGTGCATGAATTTCACTGCTCTGTTATAGCGTCTAAGTACGTAATCCGATTGAATTTGCTTATCAACGGGCCACGCTTCGCCTTCGCAACCATAATGGCTGTACTTATTAAATGTTGCGCATTGATTATATCTATAAACAGAATTAATACACGTCCCCCGTTGTCGGTTTGTCAGGAAGTTTAATATAATTTGAAACGAGAATCGAAAAAGGAAAAACAGTTTGAATATGCAAGCAAGTAAAGAAATATGTGTTTTATAAATCTAACAGAATTAGGCGACCCATAGCAACTAAGTAAAATTTACGCCGCTGACATGCGCTATGTCACAAACATTATGGCAAGCGTGTGGTGATATGTTAAAGCATGATACTCTTATTCACAAAACTTTATTGTAACATTCATAGTTCGAAACAAAACATTTTGAAACCAGTCATTTTCAGTGGTTTTCACGTCTGAAATATTTATTGTAAATTAAGACCAAATAAGTTTATCCTATATCGCTCTTGGGTGTATTCAATTGTCGCTTATGGCAGAATTCTCACGATAAATCTGAACATTGTTTTTTTTCTTCAAATTCAGTATTTTGTTTTCTGTACGTATAGTTTTCCAGCTTAATGTGTGAATGTATGTGAATGAATAATTCATCACCCAATTAAACTTTGAAAAGATATGGAGTGATCTACATTTGTTTAGAATACCGAGATTACATCTTGATATTTTTTTTTACGGAGTTCATCTGTAAGTAGCAATTCTGAGATTATTAGGAATTATGTCAATCTCAGCAGAACCGGGAGGGGGCGCTACAACCGCGTCATTTGAATTAAGGCCGCACGATGTCATAGATATTTTAATTGGCCTAAGATTATAATTTCTTTTGATAAACACTTTTTAAAAATCAGCCACCCTGGCTACGGTTGCAGTGGTGAAGTCAGTATAAAGATGAAAATGTAGGCCTACATCACATGTTTATCTCTAGCATCGTCCAAGCCGAGCCCAGCCCGACGAGCTCTCTAGAGATGGGGTTGCCTAGCAACCGATAACCGCATCTTCCCTGCCGGCGACAATCAGGCTCTAATTTTGAGACAGAAACACGATTTAACAGCGCCCCAACACACTCAACCCGGGCGCGGTCTAGTACTGAGAAAGTTGCAAGAAGCTTCAATGATAAATACACGGACATGAAACAAACCAATGAAATAATGGATATGAACGGCCGAATATGTAACCAATTATCTGTCATCGGGAAATGTTTTAGTGAGCATACAGTGTGATGGATGGTACGTGTATCAAAGCAATCTAGATTAAGGGTGTCCAAGACTACTCTCGGTAATTGCTGCAGAAATGGGGTAGTTGACAAATAATACAATTACTTCCACCCGCGAAAAGTCTGATCTAAACTTGCGGCTGAACTGCACTGTGCACTTCATACTTAGCTTTGTAGTTAAACGCTAGAATAAAGCAAGTGCGCCCTCTTGCAAATAAACTTTGGCCATTTTAAAAACCCTGGCTCCATTTTATGCCGTGGCTTATTAATGGTTGCTTGGTTGGGACCATTTCTATTAACATACCATGTTTCAATCAAACAGAGAGTCTCCAACACACCAAACCCTGATTTTATTTACTGGATATGATATTTCTGTTGCAGAAGTTATCAGGCTTTAATCTTCAAAGTCGCGAGCCTATTAAGTGAAATTGGGGCACAAACCTTAACTGGAACAAGATCAAGGCTTAGAATATGACCATTTTATAGCCACGGGTTGCTGGTACCCAGCACTTTGACACGCTGGTAATCATAGCGCAAAATGCATGTTAAACAGTGTACTTGGAACGCGGAAGTTGACGTTTGACTTTGCTTCTTGCCTTGGGCACTACTGCACTAGTGACAGCAGTAGCAGAAGAGTTGAAGTTGAGTCAACTTTTTTCCCGAAGGATTTAACTTCTTTAAGTTTCGATGATAATTTGCTCTGAAGTTGGACGGGATCTGGGATTCATGTAACACTACTTTTATCGGCGGGAACGATCGGGTTCGACTCCCTAGCCATAGCACAGGTTAGTTTTTTTTAGCTGTGGTCGCACTTTGCCAAAAGGCACTTGCAATAGGCTAGTTCAGTAGTTGCAATGACTTGGTTTAGGCATGGAGGAAGGAATCCAGTGGTTTGGGCCGTATATCTGAAAGTGAAACCACGCAAAATTAGTCAATTTCAAACCGTGCTACTATAAGTATCAACATGACTCTAAAAATACCAAAAAGTATCCTGATACCAAGACTAGAGGAATATTGACTCCTATTGATTATCAAAAACATTTATTATGTTTATTCAGGACTTTGTATTCATTCATTTGGATGGGAAAAACGAATTCTCAACTCGCGCTTTCCATATCGACATGATCGACAGATGCCCCAAACATTACCGCGTGAGCCGGCACTTTCATTTAAACCACCGTGTAAAATTAAAATCTGCTTGATAAATCGAACTGTTTTTATCATAACTTTAATAAAAATGGCATGGACTGGCACGCTCGTACCCAGAAAGTTCAGACTTTTATTAAAACAGTGGCACTGGTAGGGCCTATAAAAAGAAATGATTAAAAGCTTTCCGCACCTTTCCACAAAGCTTTTTTATAGGTCGGGGTACAGAGGCGAAACGAGAGAATTTTGTACAAAGGCGAGACGCCATTGCAACCAGACTTGTCTACTACCGCATGTTATTGTACACTGACATGACTGATGGCATCGGTGCCAGACTTACATGTAGTCTGGCACGCGGTAACAGTAATAACGCGTGCACGCATGTTCCGTGTTGCCGTGTTGTGTGGAGCGGGATCGGCCACTGCCAGACTTTGTCTGGCACGCGGTATTTATAACAGGGATAATGCGTGGACACATATTCGGTGTGCTGCATTGTGTGAAGCGAGATCGGAACAATACTTAGCCCGTGCGTAACGTCAGGCCATCTGGCATTGTCTGGTCGCATCGCGGTGTTTGCTCGGTGCGCGCCTGAACAGTGGGAAGGTCCAGGGAAAAAAATCGTAACTTTTTTGTTATGAGTGGTAAAAACCTGATTCAAATATCAATTTTATGTTTATTTAATGGGGATTCCTATGATACCAAACATTTTGATAGGTTTGGAAAATGAGATTTATAAAAGATGCTAAAAGTAGGCTATATAAATTATAATGTAAATCTTACTAAATTGAAACTCCAAATTTGGTCATTTAAATTGTTGTATCTCCAAACTGCAAACACCTATGAAGCTGATTCGAACGCCATTGATTTTGTTGTGTAATTGTTTTCTCAGTGATACAAAATATGATATTTTTTTCGCTAAAAAATTCAATTCGCCGGACTCCCTACTTGGTTTTGTGAGTCACGCATGGCATGTCTCATAAGTGGTGTAGTCCCATGAATGTGACAGAAATACTAATACTGGACTACCTCCGTACTATTACACTGTGCATGGATAGTCCCGTTGCTAGGGGAGCCAAAAATCAAATTAAGATCGAAATTATTTTGTCACTTGAAAATCACCCCAGCTATGATATGACTGCTAAATCGCAAAAAAAACTTTAAATCTCGTAGCTTCATAGGTCTACTCATCCAAAAATTATGGTAATGATTAAAGGCTGGTGTGATTAAATAAGAAGGTTCTAGGTTCGAATCCCGGTGAAGTATTGTTGATGTACCCTAACGTGGTGCAGCCCCCAACGTGGCGCACTTTGATTTTTCGCCTGAAGCGCCTACCTAGGGCAAAAGTTTTAACTGAAATTTCACAGAAAGACCAACTTTACTCACTCCTTAGTTGACAAAATTCTCCAAATTCTCCAAAGACAAGCTCCTCAGATATTTTACCAGCCAAGTTAATAGAGGTCTTAAGACTCAATCATTTACTTTCATATGTACTTCTAGAATTAGAACTACAGCAGTTGGAAGGCGCGGAAAGTAGGGCAAAAAAACCCCCAAATAAATATAAAGTTCTGCTTCCGGTACCTACATGTACCCTATTTTGACAGCCCTTACCCTAATTTTTTTTTTTTGGGGGGGGGAATGAAGAAAACCGAAAACCATAAATTACTACCTTTTACCCTTTACTACACGCAGACACCTCCATATAAAATTTTTGTACACAAAACAAATTGCCAAAAAACAACAACTATTTCCCTACCTACCTACCTACCTACCCTCTTTTCAAATGCCATGTAATCGGAAGCAGACATTTTTTTTTTACCCAGAACCACTACACCAACTTGACCCCCAAAAGTGTTTGCAAAAAGCTGAATTGGGAAACACAAAAGTTTCTAATGTTCAATAGAAAATACTTGGACATTTTTCATGAATCCCTTTGGCAGACTTTGCCCTGTGGAGTACATGTACATATACATGTACATGTATGTACAATGTACATGTTCATGTATGTACGCAATCACCAGAGTGGCATCAGCATTCAGCACACTTTCCCATATTTGGTTTTACAACTTGATTTGAACTTGAATTGAGTAATTACATGTCATTCCTCACAATATGCAGGTAACACAATGGGAGGGGTGTTTGACAAGTGCCACAAGGGGACGGATAACCAGGGAAGACAGCCCACCAGCAACGGTGCAGGCAGAGGATACGAGCATTCTTCCACCCCGCCCGCTGTAGTTCCTCGACCAAAAAAAGACAATGGTAGGTTGCCATGGTTTTTTTTGGCTAAAAATTAAGACAAAATAATAGCAGTTGTAAAGTTAAAACTTTCAGTTGTACGGTAGCTCCACTCATTTTAAGCATTATCAGAGCTGTCTTTTCTTTGATAATGTGCATGTTTAAACACATGTACTAGAAAAAGGGATGATAATTTTACCCTAGAAATAATGTAAACTGTCACATTTACCCTTCATGCATGGTCCTATGACACACGGTAAAAAATAAAAATGAAGTGAACTACCCAAATAAATTATGAGCTGTCGCTTACACTCCATTGAATTCCTTCGTGTAATTAGGATGCTCTGTGCACATCCAGTCTTTTCTGACAAATATGGTAATTGGTATTAAATGGCAAAATAATGTCTGATGTACTGACTTTACTTTTATGCTCTTCATGTACATTTTTTTGTACCTCACCAAAATTAAGTAAAGACACTGCACATATTCACTTCTTCGGTGCGTGTTCACGGTGAAAGGTAATTATTCAATATTCCCCATGACAATTATTGTAATGAATGCTCATCTTTTTGACAGATGTTTCTGTTAACGCAGGCTCGCAGGATATATTTACAGCACTTTACCAATTCGAGGGCCGGACAGAGGGTGATCTGTCCTTTCAGCAAGGAGATAAACTTAAAATACTTAATTTCAGGTGAGCACTTAACCAATTTTTGTTTTTGTTAAGTCTGTACTCCAAAAATGATCACAGAAGGAGTTATAGGGGCAATTTGTTTAAAGGTAGAGTAGATCATTTGCAGCTATCCAAAAACTAACCGACCAAATTTATTGTGAAAACAAAAGCTTACTTAGTTTAAATATAGTAATGACACTAAACGTCTAGTGAAATTTTTCCTTCTGGCATGCTGTCATTTTGAAGAAAACAACAAAAGAAGTTAATTTCCAAAGATGTGTCAACTGACACATATTTGGAAATTTCTGTGAATCCGCCCCCATGCGTTCTAATTTGAAGTTGGTTTGCAATTGGAGCGAATCCGTGAATGGGTTTACAACCGGCTGAATGAGAATCTTGTCCCGAATGCTGATTACGGGATTTTGTCACGCGAGGGCGCAATTCTAATTGTGACCGGGCAACTTTGGAATTGAAATCGAGATCCAAAATATTGGGTTTATGCTTGTTCTGTTTTCTTGAAATGAACAGGATTCACAGAGCTAAAATTTCATCAGGTTAGTTATTAAGCATCTGTCTTTAGATTTTGAGCACTTTCGTTGGTTCAAAAAAAAAAAAATTGCACAAATTATAAGTGGTGTACTCTACATGTTCATGTACCTTTAAATACATTCTATACAAGGAAAGGTAAACTATGTCCGGCAAGCATCCATTGCACCCAATTTCAGTGCTGCTTGTTAGTATTAATTTATCTTTCAAACTTTTGTTACACCTGTATACGAACAAGAAAGACTATTGAATCATTGCATCGATTATATGTTATTTTTTTTGTCAATAATTTGAAAACCGTCTACTTGAGGCAGGTTCAAAATTCATGCGAATGCGAAGCCGATTTGATGTTATTGAAACCGCTGCGAAATTCGCCAGAGTTGAAATGTGTTCAACTTTTGCGAATTCACAGCGAGAATCATGTATTCACGATGCGAATTCGCAAAAGTTGTGTCACAATATTCTCGCTGTGGTGTCACAAATGTGTGTTTGCGTTTGCTTTCGCACCGAGTATGACGCAGCATTCACGTTTGTCTGTGCTTTCTCTCGCCAGTGGTGACTGGTGGCATGCCAAGTCTCTGGTGACTAACCAGGAGGGCTACGTTCCTAGTAACTTTGTGGCTCTAGTCAAGAGTTTGGACGCAGAAGAGTAAGTCATTGCTTTCTTTACTCACTATTTTTACCACGTAATACTACACATTTTTGTTGGGGGTGGCCTAGTGGTTAGGGTTCGCGACTCATGATCAGAGGGTCAGGGGTTTGTATCTAGCTGCTGGACATATGTTGTGTCCTTGGGCAAGCCACTTCACCCTTACTTGCCTCTCTCCACCCAGGAATGGGCAAACTTATGACTTGTGTGTATGTTTAGAGCTATACATGTAGACCTATGAAATTTATTGTACAGATGCAGATTTCTTGGAATTGGGGGGGGGGGCATGTTAAAATTGTTTCAAGATATTCCTAAACTACATCATCTTTGTTGTATATAGTGAAAACTACGCTGAAAATTAAGCCTAAATTAAGAAGTGGCGACGGTGTAAAGAAAGATGGTCAAAAACCAGTTTATCCACACGCAAGTCTATGAGATATGGTCAACACAATAGCACTGCGGCACTGCGCACACAGATAACTGCGGTAATTGTAATTACATGTAGGCCTACATGACTGCCATCCAGATGAGTTTTTGACTATTTTCCTGTAAATGAGCGCTTTTTCTTATTTTGAGCTTTATTTTCAACGCCGTTTTTACCATATAGCCTACCACTAAGGTCTTGTAGTTTAGGAATATCCTAAAATAATTTCAACATGTCTCCTCAATTTTAAGAAATCTGTCTCTGAAAAAGTGTCAACTGTTTTGGGCCCACCCTGTATATTTTGCTGTAGCAGCTCCTTGTGTGCAAATCACAAGAACAAATTTACATACATTTACATTTATACATGTACACGATGTACATGCTTTCACTGGTCATACACATGTTGGATTTGACCTTTAGACTATGAAATCTCAATAATCTGATCCCTGTGTGTGAAGTGTTTGTCTCTTTGATACATGTACGTTTGAGTCCAAATGATAAATTTGGAAATGTGGGTGTTTGCCCTGCCTGGAACAAGTACATGATTTATACATGTATTGTCGATACATTTAGTGTTTCTCTTTAGTCTGTTCTGTTTATTTTACTTTTAAAAATATGCACTTCTCACATTGAAGTTTATGTTTTGTCACAAAAATACGCTCACTGTATTGAAACAAGCAGTTTTATGAGCATACATGTATATCTCTGCACGCATCTTGATGGTTTGTAAACACGTAATGTGTACTTTTAACAGAATGAAACTGCAAGATTATGTTATGAAAAATTGTGCAGGAGTCAGTACTTTCGGTGTGCAGCAATAAATTGCGACCCTTTTTTGTTTAGAGATTATTTTTTGTCCTTTCGGCAGTCAATTCGGAGGCATTTTTCACTAAATGTGAAAGTTGCTTTCATCTGGATTTTTTTTTTTGGGGGGGGGGGATTTCTATTCAAAAATGACTATTGAAGTTGAGCAGTATATGGCCATTAATCTTGATTTTGAAGCTTGGGACTGTTGAACTAATGTTAGAAAAAGCTTTGCGAAAAAAAATCTGTCCAATGGAGAAATAAATCACATTCTCCCGAGGACAGACAGAGCATACTGTCCGAAACATCGAGAAAACAGACCCAAGTCTTTTGTCGTAGCAGCGAACCTCCTACTTGAAAGCAGCCTTACCAGAAGCATCCATCAGCAATGCCTAATTTGTCATCGTCGAGCAGAATTAATTTCCTCTCTGCTCTGAGCCTGATCAGAAAGACTGCCCCTCCCGATGCACTTAGCCAGCCCAGTCATGTCAAGCGCCTGGCTCAAGAGATCGGTTGCTGACATGGCTGATGATGAATCGCGCACAGTCTGTGGATTTTGTGCACATCGATGCATCATTACTTGTTGAAAGTCGGTGTCTGAAGGTTTTGTTGCTGTCGCTATGGTTACCATGTGTTTTTGAAACAGTTTAATTACTGTTGTGTTTTAGCCATTAAACTCATCAATCTTTGCTTTTTTTTTTCTTTTCTTTTTTTAAGTTCATGTGATCTGCAGGGAATTTATTTGAAGTTTCAAAAAAATGTCTTAGGCGTAATCATCTTGACAACTTTTTTTGCCATGGACCAAAAAAGAACCATGCTACTGTAATTGCTGTGCTATTTTTTTTGGAGAGAGACAGAACTATGTAATGTACAGGTAGGGAGAACTGTTAAGAAAGGAAAACGCTATTAAAGCTTACAAAAAGTTGCAGAGGTTCATCATGAAGATTTACACAGTGAAATTAAAACCCAATTAAGTCTGACAACATACATGTACTTACCCTTTTAAAGGACCCATGCAATATTACTTTTCATGCAATCCTTGAAAAAGGCACCCCTGTGTCCCATTCAACCTTCCTTTGAATTTTCAATTTGCCATTTTTTTTAAGGGTACATTGTGTTTTGGTTCCTTTTTGGCTTGCGAATTTCCCTATTCATGAGCAAAAGTATGATGTCATTTCAGGTAGAAACCTCAATGGTACAGCTACATGTACATGTACATTCAGCACCAAAAGGCGCCAGAATTGTGGATATTTTGCTGTCATACATTTTCTTTTCTTTGGTGATTTGTTTTTGGTGATTTGTACATGGCAGTAAACCAATGAGAAAACTTTTTATCACAAATGTTTTCAATGAGCAAAATGTTGGGTTCACAATTTGAATAGAAAATCTCTACACTAAACAGTGTCTTCCTGAAATGACATCACAGCAACAGCGCCCACAGTTGTCGGGAAAAGCATGGAATATTTTAAATATTTAAAGAAGTGCACTTTTCAATTAAATTAACCAAAAAAAGGATGTCAAATAGTGTCCATACATTTCAGAGGAGTAGAAAGTTGCAGAAAATGTGTTCCTCAGAAAAATCCATCTCAAGGACCCTTTAAGACTGAATTTAAACAATGCACATTTTGCAACAACAAATTATGCATATCATCTAATTGTCTGTAGTGGTCACCATTTCATCATACATGTTGTACACTAAGAGTTTAACAGGTGTCGGTATACATGTAATTGCTTTGTAAATAATTAACCCTGTGTCTTAGTTTGTGGTTTTGAACTAAAAATCTTCATTCAAATTGTTGTTTAAATTTTGGTTAAAAAAAAAAATGGATTTCAAATACCACAGTTACTGTATGTTCAGTGATGATGCGCGTATTAATGCTTAAGAGTCAAGAGCTGTATTTGCTATTTACACAAGGATGGTTTCTGTAGGCTAATTATATGGCCTATTAGCAGCAATCAATCACTGAAGACAGTGATGAAAATGCGCATTGATCAGTGTTAATTGTGGCCTTAGATTGAAGTTTATACTGAAATCACAAGAATCTTACGGAACATCTTTCATTCTCCATGCAAAATAAATACTTTAATGTAGCAAGTTGTCAACCCCCTTCCTCCTCCAGAAAAAGAAATGGAGCTACTTTAAATTGTCAGATCATCTTGAAAAATTTTAATTCAGTTTCTTACATTTGTAAAACAAAACAAAAGACCAACTGGTAGCATCCTTTTTCCCCCCTGTCTTTTCTTTAAGGACATTAAAATGTACATTTCCGGAAATAAACAGTCATGTAAGCCTTTTGTTCCTGAAACTGATACTGTTTCGGCGAAACCTGAATTTCCTGAATGCTTGTTTATTAAGTTGTTACATGTATGTATTTTATAAATTATTTCATAGATGTCGGTCCTTTTCCTTTTGTTATCTGCAGCTGGTTTTACCGTAACTGCACGCGAAGCGACGCAACCAACCGCCTGATGGTCCCTGGCCTCGTTCCGGGAACATTTCTCATCCGAGAAAGCGAAAGCAAACCCGGTATGATATGATATCTACTCCACTATTTGACTCACTGTTTAAGTATTTCCTTTCATTTATGAACTTTTTAAGAAATAATTCATGATTCGTTTCCATATTACAGTGCACTGTCCTGGAAATGATATAAGTTTGTTTTGATACTTTTGACAGGAACATACGCTCTGTCAATTCGAGACGAAAGCAACGGACCTCCGCACGTCAAAAATTATCGCATTAGCAATACCACTGATGGACAGTTCTTCATAGCAGAGCAGAAGAAATTCCCCACACTACAAGACGTGGTGGAATACTACAGAGGTACATGGAAATTGCTAAGACTTTATACCCCTATACCCCCCCCCCCCCCCCGCTTCCCCCCCCCCCTTTCCCCGCAAGAGGTTTGCAAAGATTTTACAGGACAAAGAAAGGTCGAACCCAGGCAATGTTAACTTTCTTCACAATGAGTGATTTGGGAGGATTCAGCAAAGTTTTATAAAAAAAAAAAAAAATTAATCAGAAAATGTTAGATTGATAAATGATGACACTTAGAATTTTGTTTTCTGTATTTTTACTATGATTGAGGCATTGTTCTTTTTACACCCTGTCTACAATATACCTGTAGGTCTAAAAGTACCCAGCTCAGAATGTGATTGAGCTTTTTGAGAAAATACTTCAATTTTAAATATATATTGGTCTTTACTACAAACAGTGTTCTTTACGAACAAATATAGCAACTTTAACTATTATTCATCAGAATTGTTACTTTTCCAATTTTTTTTTTTCCAGGTGACAACTCGGGTCTGTGTTGTCGAATCACAGATGCTTGCCCGAAGGAGAGTCCCACCACCATGACGTTAGGCAGAGACATCTGGGAGATTGAAAGAAGTTCCATGGTCATGATGTCCAAGTTGGGCTCGGGCCAGTTTGGTGACGTCTGGAAAGGTGAGCAGTCGTTTTGTTAGTTTGTTTGTAAATATGATGCGAACAAGCTAAATGAAGCGTTTGTCGGGAATTTTCATTTGGGAGATTCAGGCCAAAATAAGGGCACTTCATCACATCACTTCATCACATCTCGTGGTGTTCCGACTTTCATAATTTTTCAACTGAAGATGGTACCAGCATGCGGTTTTCACAGCAGTGATGCTGAGATTGTGCTCTTTTCAAACCTGTAAAAAAAAAAATGACCAGGTTCGACAAACGACTCATTGAGCTTGATAGCATCACAGATACATTAGGCTTTAACTCAGATTTGTCAAAAGTTCCTTTTTTTTCTCAACAGTTAAGGCCGGGTCATACTCGGTAAAAAAAATGAACGTGAACGCGAATCTAAGATCTACGGGCAAGTTTTCGTGCTGCGAATTCGCAAAAGTTGATCACATTTCAACTCACTGCGAACTTTGCAGCGAATGCTTCGTGACGTCAAATTCGCTTTGCATGATGAAATACGGTGTGAACCGGCCTTTGTAAATAACAGAATAAAAACGTAGAATAACGCTCTTATTTATTCCGCAGCTATTTGGAATGGCAAGACGCCAGTTGCCGTCAAGACGTTGAAAGAAGGAACAATGTCCCCAGAGGCATTCCTAGCAGAAGCCAACATCATGAAGGGGATTAGACATAACAAGCTGGTGAACCTGTACGGTATATGCTCTGAAAAGGTAAGCAGATTTGCTACCAAAAAGCTCTTAGCTGCTAAGCTAGAAAAAAAATGTTACTTAATAGCACAAGTGATCTGTCAAGCAGAAATATGTTGAGCAGCATATAAGTGTTTTTGTTATCAAAAGCGGAAAATTGTTTTCATATAAAACAAGTTGGCAATCAAGGAAATGTTGCTCATCATAAGAAAACAGAAAATGATAATAAGCAGATGGTGCTTAGGAAAATGGGCAGACAAAAATTAAGTTAAAGGAGATGTTAGCAAAAAGTGCTTAACAAAAAAGCTTATGAGAAGAAGATTTTACTCAGCAATTACTGATTCCTTCAAATTTAGCTAAGTTCCAGCTTACCATGCTAACAGCAGTTTACATCCTCCTGACATTTTGACTGGTATGAAAACCTATTACAATTTTTATTCGATAAGCATTTCTGTTGTTTACAGTTGCACCCTGTTTCCTGTGTGGATTTTTTAAATGAATGTACAGACTTCGTGACCTACTAAGCCTCAATAGCTGTAGAACAACCATGTTATCTGACGATCATACTTTGCGTCTTTCAGGAACCCATCTACATCGTCACAGAACTCATGAAGAACGGAGCGCTACTCACTTACCTCCGAGAAGGGGATGGGAAGTTCCTCAGTCTACGGACATTAGTGGACATTGCAGCTCAGGTCCGTTGGCTTGACTTCGTTTTGTGTTCAGAATCAATTAATTCCCTTATTTTTTTCCAATTTTCTACCAACAAATAACTCTATTCCAGCGGTCACAGGTTTGAATCCTGTCTGTTGCTCAGTTTTAATTTGTTTCTTTTCTTGACTCAGATTGCCCAGGGGATGAGTTATCTTGAGGAGCGCAGCTACCTCCATCGAGACCTGGCTGCTCGCAACATCCTTGTCGGAGAGAACAACCTGGTCAAGATTGCAGACTTTGGTCTGGCTAAACTGGTCCTAGATGAACACTACGTAGCCAGAAAAGGTACTGGGTTGCTCAGAGTTGGGAGAGAAGATATTGGTGCAGTCAAGTCCATCACAAGTCCTCAAAAGTTCATCACAAGTTCATCACAAGCCCATCACAAGCCCATCACAAGTCCATCACAAGTCCTCACTAGTCACAAGTCCTTAAAAGTTCATCATAACTCCATCACAAGCCCATTACAAGGCCATCACAAGTTCATCACAAGCCCATCACAAGTCCATCACAAGTCCATCACAAGTCCTCACAAGTCCATCACAAGTCCATCACAAGTCCTCACAAGTCCATCACAAGTCCTCACAAGTCCATCACAAGTCCATCACAAGTCCATCACAAGTCCATCACAAGTCCTCACAAGTTCATCACAAGTCCTCACAAGTTCCTCACGAGTCCTCACAAGTTCATCACGAGTCCATCACTCATCTCTTCTGCAGAATCTCCTACAATTTCACCCCATGACAAAAAGTTACCGTTTGTTCTTATTATCGTTTCTCTTCAGGAAACAAGTTTCCAGTCAAATGGACGGCCCCGGAGGCTGCCCTCTATGGGACATACAGCATTAAGTCTGACGTGTGGTCCTTCGGCATACTAGTATCGGAGATTGTCACTAAGGGAGTGATGCCTTATCCAGGTGAGTCCATGGCAACCAAATTTAAAGAATTCCAAACCAAAACATAATAACAAAAATTTCACAGTGGTATTGAGGAACACTTCTTATTTTTTTATTTTTTTTTAGAATTATTCAGCTTAAGTGCAACTGCAGTGGTTTCTGTCTTGGAATCAATTTAAAAAATATTCCGATTTCCATCTGGTTATCGACCCCCAACCCCAACATTTCAGGGGGAAAAAATGAAAAGGCCTTTGCCAAAAGCCAAGCTTTGAAATCAAAATTTCTATTGAATTATAAAATCTTTAACCTCTACCAAATCATTAAAAAAAATCGCCTGCAAAATTACTTGCTGAATTATTGACGTTATTGGTCCTATCTCAAGCGCTGCCCAGAATCATCTCATTTTGACAGAACACACATTTTTGTCTTTGATTTTGTCTTTAATTTTGTCTTTGATTTTGTCTTTCTTCCCCTCCCCCCCCCCCCCCCCCCACCAGGGTTGTCTAACTCTGAAGTTCTAGACCAGGTCCAGCGAGGCTATCGAATGAAGAAACCCCAACACTGCCCCGAGTCTCTATACAGACTCATGTGCAAATGCTGGCTGGAGAATCCGCAGGACCGTCCCACCTTTGATTTCCTCTACAACTACCTTGACGATTACTTTGTGTCGCAGGAACCCGAGTACAAGGATCCTGAGGGTTTCTAAAGTTCTGCCGTAAAGGTCTTAAGTCGTGAGGGACGTATGTACATGTCAGTGTTGGAGTTTTCGTTTTTGTACAGCTCAAGTAGCAGTGTGGACTTGGCCCGAACTCGATTTTCAGAACTCAAAAAATATAAATGGATTTGACACGTACTAGGCTTTTTGTACTCGGACTCTTTGCCGAACTCGGCATTTTGTGACCCCTTACTCGATTCCCACACTCGGAAGTACAATCAACTATTTACTTTTTCGATACTCCATCTGTGGACTCGAAAGTACACGTTTATGTACGTATGATTAATCGATTCTCTGATAAATGCATGGAATCGAATCTGAGCGGTTGTGAATTGAGCCCCTGCGAAAAGCTACCATTGCCGTACATGACCCAGCTAACCGTATTGTACAACTCTGTAGGATGAAAACCAGTGAGGCATGCATTACGTCATAATTTTACAAGCGTGTGTGCTACGCATACGCGTCCTTACCACTTTCACTTGTCACTGTACTTGCCGAGCGTGTTTGTAGTGGATGAACCAAGTATCGTCAGACCCCCTAAAGCTACGCGGTCCTTTTTCTACGCATTTACCTTCAATTTGTGTGTGACAACGCGCGTGCGTATGCAAGCGTTACCTGCGCAGATAATGGAGGGTCGAGGATACATCAAAACATTAGTCAGATCATATTAACTTGGCATTTTTGTTTCACATTGTGTACTCATGCTCGGCTCATACTCGACTGTTTATGCACTGTTTTCCACAACCTGTACTCGGATCCTGAAAAACTCGGACTTGTATCTTTGGCCAAGGACTTGATGATTAATGTACGTGGACTCGGCCTGTACTCAGCCCGTACTCGGCCCATACTCGGCTCTCCAAGGGCGGATCAAGAACACAATTTTGGAAGGCAAAAAAAATTGTTTGGTCCCCCAAAAAGTGGGTCGAAAAAAATTACGGCGTGGGGTTTGGGCCCACTTAAGGGCCCCGAAGAAATCTTGGATTCTAGATGCTCTTTGGTGCGATCTGAGGCAATTTCTGACCACTTTAACCAATGGTTTTTTTGAGGAAAAGATGGTGGTGTACTCAATGCCTGCCGTTATTGTGACGTCACTTTAAAAAAAAATCAATTGGGTTCGTTTTTTGGGGGGGGGGGGGGGGACGTGGCCCCCTTTGGCACCCTGGATCCGCCGTTGTGGCTCTCAATGCACTGGGAGTACTTGGTGCTGGGATATTAGGACTGGACTCCAACACTGGTACATGTAGTCGACCCGTTAAAGGTGCCTTTATTTATTGACACTGAGTCTTTGTCATGTTTTGCAGGGATGTAGTCCAGTCCATCACAAGTCCCTGCAAGTCCCTGCAAGTCCATCACAAGTCCTCCAGTCCCAATTCAACTCACAAGCTATTCAAATGAGCTTTGACAAAGGCATTCCTTTGTTATTGTTCATCCACTGTTACTTGTGACTGGACTTGTGACTGGACTTGTGACTGGACTTGTGATGGAATGGACCACATGCCTGATGTTTTGCACTAGTCAGAAGCCTGCTCATTGCCTTTCGATCTTACAGACTGGGGCGCTTTGGTGTTGTAAGTACCACTCTATGTAATTTCTGCATGGAAAACCTAAATTTGATACATGACAAAATTGTGTTCCTGGAAGCCATAATTTCAAGCCTTGCTCCAGCCAATTTTTTGTTAAAACTTGTAAAAGGTGATGACAAGGCAGTATTGTTATACTTAATGACGTTATGTGCAACAGTTAGATAAGGATCTTAAGACGCATCATGGTGAATTCCGTGCCTTCTTTTATGCATACTCGTGGATTGGTGTGTCGGCTTTTTTTTCATAGGATTTAGATGCAATATTTAAACTAACGCGAGGCCTTCTTTTCTTGTTAACATACTGTAGTACATGTATGTATTAAATAATTATAAGGTTAAAGCTAAGAAATAATGGGGCCATACATTCCGTGCCTGGACATGAAAATCAAACTACAGCCTGTCTAAAAAAAAATGGTACAATCGCAAACGAGCATCACATTAAAGAAAAAAGACCAGGCTTTCCAATACTTTTTGTTTCATCTCATTTGCTTTTGTCAATCCAGAGATAACTCCAGTTTACTGCGGAACACAAAAATCGAGTTTGTTTCTTTTGCCAAGTTGCAATCTTTTGTGAGCTTCAAGACAGCATGGCACAGTACTCGAAACAACTCTGCCCATGCATAAAAGTGGCTCAAAATCGATTTTGGTGTATCACACTAAATTGATTATATCTCTGAATTGACAAAAGCAAATCAGATCAAACAAACACTATTGGAAAGCCTGGTCTTTTTTCTTTAATGTGATGCTCAAAACGACTTACTTATGTTGAGATTTAATATTGAAAAAAAAAAAGTGTTTTCGATTGTACCAGTTTTTTTGAGACAGGCTGTATATCAAGAATGTGCAAGTTATTCAAATCGTAAACTTTCCACTTCTTTCTGTTGCATCTTACATGTCGAGGATGATAATAATTTTCTGTTTTCTTTGGTTGGGAATCGGGCTGTTCATCAGAACCGGGTACCTGAGTGTTGATGTCAGGAACCAGTTCCAGATTATGGGATCGCGTATCCGTAACCAACTTTACAAATTACTAAGTAACTTCTAAGACAATGAAATAGAAAGGTTTTGAATGTCATTTGTGGTGAATTTTCCAAATTTAAAACCAGGCTTCATAGGAAAACAAAACATGTTTCATGTTTATGACGCTCGCAAAAGTTGCGGTCTACACTGTAAAGCTATAAAGCTCACTGTTACACACTTGTATCTTGCTGTACTGATGCACCGATGTAGAAGTATTATCGTGTGGGCCTTTATGAACAATCTGAACAGCAATTTCTGAGGTCTGAATGGTGGGGTTGGGTTTCTTTAACAGGTACCTGGTACCCGTGGTTTTTTTTTTTTCGATCGGGTACCTGGTTCCCGTTCTGCCCATAAATGCACTTCTAGATGGGAAGGATTGTCCGGCATTCGACTCTCTATTTTTGAGGAATTACCAATAAAGGGAAGATACAACATTTACAAACATCAAAGAACGAAATGATCGAATTATCACGAAATACCTTACTGGACTGTTAGGGAATGACAGTCTATAGCATCCTTTAAAATCGTGGCTCCTGGTGTGCTGACATTTTCACGAAAAACTGTATTTTTCCAACGCTGGTCGGCCGACCAGCGTTGGAGAAAACTGGCTTTTTTCAAAAACTGTTGCTACTTTTTCATATTAAATTATTCTGACTTTTCTTTGCAATTGATTACGCACCTGTGAAGGGGTACAAGCCTGCGCTAGACTAATTCTCTACCTTACAGTTCCCCAAAGAGTATTAATTGCTCCGTTTCATCTTAAGTGGGGTCAGGGAACCAGACTACAAGAAAATGATAGGTTTTCTTGGTTTTTCCAGCATCTACAAGCCCAAAACGTGAATTAAGTCAGTTTAACAATATTTTCTGTAACGTACTAATCCGCCAAATCCATTTATTTCTGAAAATTGCAGCTAAAGCAAATGTTGTACATTCCCTTTAAACTGTGTGGAGGGTGTCTTTTGTTAGAAAGTTCAGTTTTATTGGGGATAGACCGGGATACATGTAGTCTGAGGAAAAGATGCAGTGTGAATCTAAAAGCTAGAATTCACTGATTACAACTGCATGTCAAGTACCAAAGCCATGCAACTTTTGACATACGCAAGTATTGGTAAATATTGGTGTTTATTTTACATGTATTAAAAATTTGTTGTTGTATATTCAAAGAACAATATGTACATTTATTAAAAAAAACAATTGCATTTTCAGTATGATGTATTGAGGAGGAAGTTGAGAAGTTGCTCCTAGATTAATTGTTATTTTATTTAATTGAGACATCACGGGCAAAATGACAATGCTACAAGTGGAAATTTGTATATTGGCTAATGATTTTGAGTGCCCATTATTACATTCAATGTGAACATTGGTACAGACTGTGTTTAAGATACCTTTCGGGGACTGATTTTTTTATTTCTTTCTAAAAAACAAGTGTATTTTTTCAGCATGTTAATTCTGCTGAATTTATACCGGATATGAATTGTAAATACATATAGTACTTGTATATGATGTGTTTGAAAAATACTTCTGCTGTGTAGTATAGGTGTATGTGTACAATCCAGTATGCTGTCTTTATGTAGCATATGAAGGCACATTCATTGATGTATTTATTACATTTTCTTAAACCGTTTAACGTCCATTACCCAGACTGCTATTTGTCAAGACAACTTTTGGAATTTTCACTGCAGTATGATCATGACCAAAAAGAATCTCACATTTGCTTGTAAAAAATGAAAAGTTAGACCTTAGTTGGAATATTAGTGAATTTTTGGTGATGTTTTGTTCAATCGTCTGTATAAATAATTCCTGCAAGAAAACAAGAACATGTAAATTATGTCGAGATCTGTATTTTGACGTTTTCCACAATTTGGAATGTAAAGCAGTACTATAAACATACGCAGAATGAGATAAGTTGTACACCAGTTATCCAACCACTCGCATATTATGTAATAAACTTTTCATTGGGAATGATGGTTGTACAGTCATCGTCCCAACTTTACTCTACTCGTGTACGAATTAACTCCGATACCATGGTTAAATGATGCAAAATGTTCGAAGTACATATGTATGAACGTAATCATAAAATCTACAATTTTAAATGTGTCAGAGAAATCAAATATTGCCTGATTTTGATTGAATGCCAGGCTAACCCCTTCACAGTTTGGTAATTTTTCAGAAAAATCTGGTTTTGCCAAATTTTGGTAAATTGCAAGGTTAACCCCTTACAATCTGAAATTTTTCAGAAACATCTGATTTTGCCAAATTTTGATAAAAATGCAAGGTTAACCCCTTACAATCTGAAATGTTTCAGAAACATCCGATTTTGCCCAATTATGATAAAAATGCAAGGTTAACCCCTTACAATTTTAAATTTTTCAAAAACATCTGATTTTGCCAAATGTTGCTCAAAATGCAAGGTTAACCCCTAAAAATTTTGAATTTTTTCAGAAACTGAAAAATTTCAGAGTGTAAGGGGTTAACCTTGCATTTTGAGCAAAATTGGGCAAAATCAGATTTTTACGAAAAACTTACGATTGTAAGGGGTTAACCTTGCATTTTTATCAAAATTGGGCAAAATCAGATATTTCTGAAAAATTTAAAAATGTAAGGGGTTAACCTTGAAATTTTTATCAAAATTGGGTAAAATCAGATGTTTCTGAAAAAAATTCAAAATTGTAAGGGGTTAACCTTGCATTTTTATCAAAATTGGGCAAAAATCAGATTTTTATGAAAAATTTGAGATTGTAAGGGGTTAACCTTGCATTTTTATTATACTTGGGCAAAATCTGACGTTTCTGAAAGATTTCAGATTGTAAGGGGTTAACCTTGCATTTTGAGCAAAATTGGGCAAAATCAGATTTTTATTAAAAAATTCAAAATTGTAAGGGGTTAACCTTGCATTTTGATTAAAATTTGGCAAAATCAGATGTTTCTGAAAAATTAAAAAATGTAAGGGGTTAACCTTCCATTTTGAGCAAAAATTTGGCAAAATCAGATGTTTAATGAAAAATTTCAGATTGTAAGGGGTTAACCTTGCATTTTGATCAAAATTGGGCAAAATCAGATTTTTATGAAAAAAATACGATTGTAAGGGGTTAACCTAGCATTTTGATCAAAATTGGGCAAATCAGATGTTGCTGAAAAATTTAAAATTGTAAGGGGTTAACCTTGCATTTTGAGCAAAATTGGGCAATATCAGACGTTTCTGAAAAAAATTAAAATTGTAAGGGCTTTAACCTTGCATTTTTATCAAAATTGGGCAAAATCAGATGTTTCTGAAAAATTAACAAATGTAAGGGGTTAACCTTGCATTTTGAGCAAAATTTGGCAAAATCAGATGTTTATGAAAAATTTCAGATTGTAAGGGGTTAACCTTGCATTTTTATCAAAATTAGGCAAAATCAAAAAATGTAAGGGGTTAACCTTGCATTTTTAGCAAAATTTGGCAAAATCAGACGTTTGTGAAAGATTTCAGATTGTAAGGGTTTAACCTTGCATTTTTAGCAAAATTGGGCAAAATCAGACATTTTTGAAAACATTCAAAATTGTAAGGGGTTAACCTTGCATTTTGAGTAAAATTTGGCAAAATCAGATGTTTCTGAAAAATTCTAAATTGTAAGGGGTTAGCCTTGCATTTTGATCAAAATTGGGCAAATCGGATGTTTCTGAAAAAAATTAAAATTGTAAGGGGTTAACCTTGCATTTTGATCAAAATTGGGCAAAATCAGATGTTTCTGACAAATTAAAAAATGTAAGGGGTTAACCTTGCATTTTGAGTGAAATTTGGCAAAATCAGATGTTTATGAAAAATTTCAGATTGTTAGGGGTTAACCTTGCATTTTGAGCAAAATTGGGCAATATCAGACGTTTCTGAAAAAATGAAAATTGTAAGGGGTTAACCTAGCATTTTTATCAAAATTTGGCAAAATCAGATGTTTCTGAACAATTAAAAAATGTAAGGGGTTAACCTTGCATTTTTATCAAAATTAGGCAAAATCAAAAAGTGTTAGGGGTTAACCTTGCAATTTTAGCAAAATTTGGCAAAATCAGACGTTTGTGAAAGATTTCAGATTGTAAGGGGTTAACCTTGCATTTTTAGCAAAATTGGGCAAAATCAGACATTTTTGAAAACATTCAAAATTATAAGGGGTTAACCTTGCATTTGGAGCAAAATTGGGCAATATCAGATGTTTCTGAAAAAAATTAAAATTGTAAGGGGTTAACCTTGCATTTTTATCAAAATTGGGCAAAATCAGATGTTTCTGAAAAATTAAAATATGTAAGGGGTTAACCTTGCATTTTGAGCAAAATTTGGCAAAATCAGATGTTTATGAAAAATTTCAGATTGTAAGGGGTTAACCTTGCATTTTATCAAAATTAGGCAAAATCAAAAAGTGTAAGGGGTTAACCTTGCATTTTGAGCAAAATTTGGCAAAATCAGACAATTCTGAAAAAATTCAAAATTGTAAGGGTTAACCTTGCATTTTGAGCAAAATTTGGCAAAATCAGATGTTTCTGAAAAAAAAAAAAAATGTAAGGGGTTAACCTTGCATTTTGAGCAAAATTTGGCAAAATCAGATGCTTATGAAAAATTTAAAATTGTAAGGGGTTAACCTTGCATTTTGATCAAAATTGGGCAAAATCAGATGTTTCTAAAAATTTAAAATTGTATGGTGTTAACCTTACAATTTTAATGTAAGGTTAACCCCTTTAATTGGGTTAACCCCAATTAAAATGTAAGGTTAACCCCTTAGAATCTGAAACGTTTCAGAAACTTCTGATTTTTCCTAATTTTGATAAAAATGCAAGGTTAACCCCTCACACTTTTTAACTGTTCAGGAAAAAAAATCAATTTGTCAAAAAAGTTGCACTTGTAGTACACATCTGCACTTTATTCATTCCTTTTGCTGTACAGTTAGTCATTATTTTAAAAACAATATTGATGTGCAACAAATTTTGCTACACTATAAGCAATGCACTTATATACACTATTTACAAGCTGATATTGAAGTTGGACATTCATTGCAATTCAAATTGATATATTAAAAATATGAGACGGTGATAACAACCTAACTCTTGAAGCCCCCTCCCCCTAAAAAAAAAATCACAAATTACAAACGCACACAATTAAGCTGTACTCTGGACTCTGTTTCATCCCACTTTTCTTTTCTTCCCAAACAAATGCATAAATTCTCTTGAGCCAACTAAGCAGCGCCCTCTTTTGCATGTGCACACGGTCAAATAGATTTACAATGTATGTGATTGCCAATACATGTACATGTACTTAAATGCCAAAAGTTTGCCATGGAGAGTCCATTTTTTCAAGTTTACGGTCAACAAAATATGGCCCATTTGAATGAGTGTCAGTAGACAACTTGAGCTAATTTGTTATAGATTGGGGCATAGCGTTCTGCCGCTTTACAAAAAACGACATATTGATAAAAAGAATAGAAAAGAAAAGGGCAAACATATACTTGAATCATACGCTTACGACACTAACTGCGAATTTGTCGACCATCTCCCACAATGCACTGGGAAATATGAAATCTCCACGGCAAACTCTTGGTGGCGCACTGCATTGTGAATCTTACTTACAAATTCAAAAACAAGTACAGAAGCATATTTGCTTCATGAAATTAGCAGATAACGATACACAGCACAGCTTGTGTGGTTTTTTTTTTCATTTTGGCTTACATTAGATATTTAAGATTTCGGGCACTATTAATTGTAAAGTTGAACAAAATGCATCTTCGTCTGGATTATCAATGTAATGAAATTTGGCTCCTTATTTTGTGTGGCCAGGAATGATATGGTTCAATGGTTTAATTTCATAGTACTGTAAAACAATTGAATAGGGAAATAATACACTTTTGTAACAGCTTGAACCAAGGTCATGTGACCAAACAAGATCACATGACCTTACAGTTACTTCCTCATAAACAGAGGGCGCTACATGTATTCAAATATTCCCTGGCACTGCTGGGGTGAAAATAATCGAACACAAAAATGCAAAGGATCTTGCTTTGCAAAAAAAAAAGAATTCAGAAAAAGTGTACACTGAAAATAACACAACATTCAAATTTCTAAAAGAAGATAATTTAAAGAAGATAATTCATTCAAATTAATCAACTAAGTACATTACTTTGTTTTTTTTACACTCCGTTCACACCCTGGAACTGAGATATTATTGGTATTGGGTGAAAATATCGTTTTGTTTTGTTAACTATAAGGCCAAAAAAAAAAGTCTCCGGTTTCTGGTATGGAGCTTGCCCAAAAGGTGGTGTGGCGAGGCAGCTTCTTTTTTTTTTTACCTGATTTTTGCTTCAAATGTCGGCTGATGACTGCAAATGGTGCCCGACTAAACGTAGTGCAAATATTATGGGAGACCAGAGAAGCCACATAAAGCTTATTCTCGATCATAACCCCATCTAAAAACACGTTAAAATTGTGCAGCAGCAGGATTCCAGTCAAACCAGTGAGTCTGGGGGTTTTGAGACATCATCTTTCATTGAAAAAAAAAAAAACTTTTTCATTTGCCGACGCGCGTGGCTACGGCGACGCGCGCGCATACCAGAAACCGGAGACTTTTTTTTTTTGCCTTAGTTTAAGAGGCCAATTTCACCGAACTGCGAAGCACAGAATTAATTTTCACCAACCAGAATTTTGTGCAGCGTTTCTTGTGGCACTATCTCAGCTGTTTATGCTCAGCACACGATTTTGCTCAGCACACGATTTTGCTCAGGAAATATTCAGCTTGGCAGCCCCATGAACTTGACACAGGCCTTAGCTTGATGTCTTGGATGAATCAACAACCCTCGACCCTCCCGTGTTCCTTGAAGAGTTATGGTGGCAGTGCTCCGACACATATTGTCCTACATGTCTTCCTGCACTGTAAAAAGGAGATGTTGTGAAAATAAAGTAAATATAACAGGCACGTTTTGATCTACAGGGCGAGTAAAAAAAACCTTAACCCAAATGGCGGACCAATTTTTGAATGACGTTTTGCCTGTAGCACTTTCGAAATCTAGGATATGAAAGCCCAATCGATGAGTTTTCTTTTAGTACAAGAATCATTCAAATCACTCATGTACCTTTCAAGTTACGGAATTTTGGACACAAGCACCATTTTTAAAAATCAGTCCACGGATCACAAAAAAGGTAAGTGTTCTTTCAAGCAAAACGAAAACAATTCACACGCATACCTATGAGAATTGTTTTTGTTTTACTGAAGAACACTTACTTTTTTTGTGATCCGTGGACGGAACTTTAAAACAGTGTTTGTGTTCAAAATTCTGTAACTTGAAAAGGACATGAATGATTTGAATTATTCTTGTACTAAAAGAAAGCTGAATAACTGGGCTTTCATTTCCTAGATTTTGAAAGTGCTACCGGCAAAACTTAATTCAAAAATTGGTCTCTTCCATCACAAGTAATCCAGTCCCTCGACAAGTCACACAATTTTGAAGAGAACTGTGACAAAAAGACAGGACTTTTTAATTGACTTGTGATCTACTTGTGAAAGACCACACAATGAACTGAGTGATGCACTACCCACCTTATAGCTTTGAGAACCAAGTTGCTGTCGCACATCTACTTCTGGTTCGTCTTACGTCTCTTGTAGGATGGGATGGGCCCGTAGTACATGTCTAAAACAAAAACATGAACAAGATTAAGTATCAAAATCAAACATAAAAATGTGTAAAGAATCTTTTTTAAACATTTAGTGATGACAAGTTTCAGACTTCTTGATTGACATTGACAGTCCATGAATATTGAATGAATATTTCATTTTGCATTTAAAATGAAAATGAAAAAAAAAATGGATGCAAACAGGCTTACCCCTTCCTGATGAGCGTGTGCTTCTCTTCCTTGACAGAGCGTCGGCCTCCGACTCGCCTGGAATCTCCTTTTCTTTCTGCCCTCTTCCTCTGGTTATTGGAGGGGACTCTTCTTTCTCTTTATCCTTCCCTTTGGAAACTAGTTCTCCTGGCGACCTCCGTCCGCTGCGAAGGCTCCTCGTGGACATACCGGGGACCTCCTCTGAGGTGTGTCTTGTCCTACGTGGTTCCAGCTCCCCCTCAGGTTCCCTCGACATTTTGACTCCTCCATCCTTGCTCGGTTCCTTCTCCGGGTGTTTTGTGATCATTTCAGTTTTCTGGCTGGGAGGTGGTTGAACAACCTCCTCGGCTGCATGTTCCAGATTGTGCTGTCCTGACAAATATCTAGGCATTTCTGCAGAGACATCAGATGTTGATGCCTTTTCAAATAAACAGCCTTTATCTGGATCCATCTGAATGGCTTTCTCCACCAGGTTTGTGATTTGGTCGGGTTTGCTCAAGAGCGACGGCTCAGGTGAAACATCGGATTTGATGATGACGCTCTCCTTGTGAGATTTGCAGGAGTCGTGGACTACACTAGGCTGTGATGAACACTGTGATGTGGTCTCTGGTATCCTCTCACACTGCTGTGCTGGATCAACTTTTCTTGTAATCTCAGGAACACTGGGAACTCCTTTTGGTGCTGGATGGGTCTCTGTGGGTGACAGTACCTCCTGCTTTTCTTTGGACTGTCCTAGCTGTCCTGTTACTCCTAAAATGTCCACAGTTGCTGCACTTGGTTGAATGTTTTGCAAGGTATCTTGCTTGGTGCTATTGCCATCTAGGATTGGTAAGGCATCTTTGGTTTCTGTGGGTGTTGATCTTTCCTTATTTGCCTCTTTGTCTTGCTTGTGGGGTTGTTCTACATCCTGTGTCCCAACTTCAGGAGTTGGAGTGTCAGACTTTGCCAGTTTGACAGCAGGCTCACCTACATCTCCAGTGTGCATTCGTTTACGAGATTCAGCTAGTGGTTCTGGCAATGGTGTATTTTTATTGCCATCATCTGATACGACTACAGTAGCGGTTTCATTTGCATAAGGTGAAATCAGGGGAGTTTGAGGAACAGTAGATGTGACTGTGGGACCAGGATGTGACGTGACGATTGTTGCCTCAGCGGGTTGATTGGTCGATTTTATTGGAGCTTTATCCTGGGAATTCTGATTGTTCGGGGGACTCAGGGGAACTGTCTCTACTCCGGACGACTTGGATGTTTCTCCAACTGATGTGTGACTAGGAACTATAGGAATGCACGTGGGCGTTAATGTGGAGACTGCAGATGCCTCCGAAGTAGTTTGGATGGTCTGCTTGTCATCAGTGGCTTGTGGAACTTGTGGCACAGAGACCCTTGGTTCACACTGCGATGGGACTTTTTGGTCATCTTTCGCAATCACCTCTTTCACGGTTTGGGGTTTCTGTGCCTCCTCAATAGATGGCACAGCTTGATATGTTTGAGAATGAGGTTCAACATTACTGTGGAAATGTGTCGACTGCAACGTTGGCTTTTGTACTTGGGTAAGAAGAGGTGATATGACTGTGTTTGCTGAAGAATCTCTGACCGGTGATGTGGATTCCATGCCTGGCACTGAGTGAGATTTGACTACTTGTGGATGTGTGGGAGGGGAAGATATGGTAGGAGCTGGTGGGGGACTTGATATTATAGAATATGCCAGGGACTGAGCAGATGCACTCTCGTTTTCCGCTTTACTAGAGTGGGTTTGCTGCAGGTCTTTAGCTGAGGATGTCGGGAGAGCAGCATGAAATGCTGGAACTGCAGAGCTTACTGGCTGTTCCATTGGGACTAGTGCAGAATGGTGTGGTGGCTGTTGTTGGACACTGCCTTTTGTGGGTGGGCTACCCTCTTGACTCTTCACTGAAGGCAGTGAGGACTCTAGAGAGGGTTCAGCTGGAGTCTTGGATGTGGGTTTAGCTGAAGCTGGAGGTGTGCGGCTTTGTTGAGTTTGCATTTCATGACCTCCTCTGTCTCGCTCGCCAGCTGCCATTTTACCTACCGGAGGGAGTGTCTCAGGAGACCTTCGCATCCGGGTTAGATTCTTATCTGTCGCCTTTGGGGTTGGCACTACCTTAGCTTTTGCTGCCGACGCCATTGCTGTGGTGACAGTCCAAGCCGACTTGGCTATAGAGCTCAGTAAAGCACTGGCACTACCCAGAGATTCATTGTTGCAGGTGTTTGGAGGAAGAGTTGAGAGCGATGCCCTAGGTGGTGTTCTGGATCGCACAGGACGTGCTGTCTGCTCTGCTGCCTTCAAGATCCCAGAAGTTCTAGACATTGCAGCAGTTTTGACCATAATTGACTGGGCTTGTACCAATGTGCTTGAAGCTGATGAGAAAATTGTAGGTTTTACAGGTGTTGTAACAGTTGCAGGAGGTGTTGTTGTCGCATGGCCTAAACTGGCCACAGGTACAGGAGATGTCTTAATCTGTTGTCCCATACGCTTGTCCCCTGCAGCCTTCTTGTGCATTTGTTGTGTATTCTTGTCAGCTTCAGACTCATCAGAATTTGATGTTGCTTCTATATTCAGTTGCTTCAATTTCTCTGGACTTGATTTTAAAGTTTTCTCTAGTGCTGGCTTAGTGGATGAATAGGTCTGGTAGTCCAAGGATTTTAATCCCACAGTCTCAGAGTGCGGAACTGGTCCTGGTATTTTTGAAGATGGCAAAGCATTTCCCCTTTCTCCTGATGGAGGAACTGAGTCATGCAAAGCTGGCTGTGTCTGAATTGCAGGCTGTTGTTGGATCAGAATTGAAGGGTGCACTGATGAAATGCTTGCTTCAGGATGGCTTCCAGTATCTGGCTCCGAGGCAGTTGATGTTGCCATCACCTGTGAAAGGGTCATCTTTGACATCTGCATCAGATGTGAAACTTCAGTTGTTGATTGAACAGTTGTTGATGATGTTGTTACACTCGTCATTGCTGCCGACTCAAAGGTTGTCATGGGGGTGACTGGAGCATTCGTTGCAGGTGGTTCTGTTACTGTTGCTTCAACTTCAGGGGTGGCCACAGTATGTTGTACCTGCTGTTCAACCTTTAACTGTGTTGCAGGTGTTGGTGGTCGGGGTGTCACAGATGAAGGTTTAAAGGACTGGTTTTTGGTTTGCATCATGGCAGATTCTAAGTTGGGAATGCTGCTTTCTGTACTTGCATGTACAGGTGCTTTTCCGTCCATGCTCTTAGATGCCTCAGTATCAGGACATGCATCTTCAAAAGGCTTTTGGGATGTTAATTGCGGCAACTGTTGAGCAGGTGGTTGTACTACAGAACACTTATCTTGTTTTGTATCAACAGCTTCAGCAGCTGGGGCAGCCTCTGGTTCAGGTGTTAGGGTGGCTATAGTACCATGAGCACCAAGGCTTTTGATCAATTCTTCTGAAGCTGTTGAAAGAGTGGCTGGTGACAGCAAAATTTTGGGGGCTCTTTCCAAAACTGTCATTGGGGTTTCCGGCAGGGAAGGTGGTTGGGGATGAGGAATTGGTGACTTTGCCAACATACCAGGAGGAAAGGACTGTTGTAGGAATTGTGAAGGTCTCGCTACAGAGGAGTCTCTAGCCATACTTTCTGCAGCCTGGCTAGGAAGACCTTGCTGGGAAAATCGCAGCATGTTCTCATCAGCTATGTGGGCTGCTACAGCCTGGGACAAAGTGCCCATGGAGTGACTCTGAAACATAGGTGGAGGAGTTTGGATGGAGCTCTTCACACCACTATCTGATTGGCTGGTTTTACCTTCCACTCCGAAGCCCGATGGTGATGATATGATCCCTCTTTGAGAAGCCAATGCTGATGCTGTTGTCACAACATTAGAGCTTTCTGCAGTTTGCTGCACTATTGGCAATGGCTGATTATTTTGCTGCAGTTGTTGTTGCTTTAGCTGTTGCTGTTGTTGCTGCTGCTGGCCAATGACTGGTGGTGGAATATAGATGGAGGTGATATTACTTGATATGCTATCAGTTTTCCTTGAAGCAGCTTGTGCTACTGACACTGCTGGATGATTAAAACCAAGCCATGCGTCCACTTGATGTGATGTGGCTGGGGGAAAGAGACTGTGTGAGTCAGCTGAAGTGGGTGTTGAAGTGGTCTGGGGCTTTACAGCCTTTGAATCATCTGATAAGAACTGCTTCTCATAAGGGCATTTCTCCGGGATTACAATCTCATTCAGAAGTGCTTTGAGTTGAGATTTGTCCTCCCTTTTGGCCAGATCACCTGAGGTTGCCTGATCAAAAGTGTCTTTTTTAGAAGCTGGTGCATCTCCTGGTGAAGGTTGATTCTGGATATTTGATGGAGGTGCCCTTCCGACCAATTTGTGCATGAAGTTAATACCCTCTGTTGTGATCACCCTTGGCTGATTAGGTGGACGCTCAATGTTGGCAAGAGTAGGTTTCTGTGTATCTAGAATGCTGCCAAGCATTCTTTCAGTTGCTGCACTGAACTCTGCAGGCTGCATCGGAGTCCTTGCACCAATTTGAGCAGGTAGAGGAAGAGGCTTCTGTGCATCAACTGATGCTAGTGAAAGCCAGTCATTAGGTGCAGTTGTGGGACCCTGCGGAAATGCTTGGGCTGATTTAGGTGCCGTGTCCTGCGGTTTGCTGCTGCGGAACAGTGGTGCCATCTGAAGGATTTCTGTTGGTGGAGTCACACTGCTCAGAAACTGACTAAGGGTGTTGTGCTCTGGGTTTCTGGTTATTGCCATGTCACGGATTGAGGGTTGTGCTGATGCAGAGAAGGTCCTTGAGGTGAGAGTCTGTAAACCAGCAATCCCCGAGGACATGGAAGATGGAGAACTACCCGGGATGGGACCATATTGTGGCTGCTGGTGTTGGACTGGTCTAGCACTTGAAGATGGAGGAGTCCGTCTCTGCTTCACACTCTCTGGTATCTTAGGGGGAGACAAGCGAACAGGTGAATTTGATGATCGCCTATCAGCAACAGGTGGCGTTGGCAGTCCACCTCGTGAGGATGATTGACTGAAATGACTTTCTGTGTAACTTCTTGTTGATGGTGCACTGGGAGTAGATGTTGCCTGTTGAGCAACTGAAGCAGTTCCATCACTAACTGATACTGTGGTAGTAGGAGTGGCTGCTCTATTTACAGGTGATTGTAGCTCAGGTTTTGGAGGCGGCACTTCTTTGCTTTGCTGGGCTTTGCCATTTTTGGCATCAGCTGCCATCTTAGCTTCTTTGGCAATGATGGCTGCGACTGCCATGGTGTCTCTTTCAGCCTCTGTCATTCCAAGAAGTGCAGCCTCTTCATCAAACACATGACCATCTTCTTCAGGCTGTTTTGCTGCATCAGGTTTCTTGGAATTATCTCTGCTTATTTCAAGAGATGATCCAGGCTGTGATGTGCCAGCATCTGAAACTTTAATTTGTTCCGCCTTCTTTGCTTGAGGATCAATCGACAATTCTTGTTTTTCTTTAACTGATGAGCTTGGAGCAGTAACAGTGGTGCCATCTGTATTCCAAGTATCCATTGGATTGGCCGAGGGAGGACCTGGGACATTACTTGTTGACACAAGAGGAGCAATGGCTTGCTGAAGCTGCCCCATATGATGCAGATGTCCTCTACTCTGACTCGGTGATGGGTCGTTTGGTAGTACCTGACCACGATCTGCTGACATTGGAGGACGAGGCATGTGCCCCATGTGCATTGGTCCTCCAAGTCTCATCTGACCCTGTGACATAGGATCATGAGTTATGATTGGCCCAATGGACATTCTGGCATTTGGGAGTTGACTATGAGGCATGGGGCCTGGAAAGGGTTGGCCTGGTAGATGATGACCACCAGGCATTTGAAAGGGCTGCATGTGACCCGGAGGCATCTGATTCAGAGGCATCTGATTCGGAGGCATCTGATTCGGAGGCATCTGATTCGAACCTGGCATTATTGGACCCTGTGGCATGTGACCTTGAAAGGATTGAGCATGGTGTGCCTGCACTTGCGAAAGCTGCGCAGCTGACAACTGACTGAGTTGAAACTGCAGCTGCTCTTGGGACAACTGTCCTGACTGGGCTTGCAACAGAGTGCTTGGTGGTATAAACTGACCTGCTGTTGATATGTAACCTGGTATATTTCCCTGGGATGTTACAAATGGGGACATATTGGGAATGACAGAGTTTGGGGCTGTTAGGGTGCCAATGCCATTTCCTATCATAAATGGTGAACTTGAATTTATGGGAGGAGCTGGGGATGCCAGTGTTTCTTGGCTTGATGGTCCTGGCTGTCCAGTTGTTGGGGTGTCAGTCCCGGTAGATGTAGTCTTACCCCCAGAAGAATTTGAGAAGGGGAACTGCTTGGCAGAAATATCGCTCTGAAGAAGATTAACCAACAGGGGGCTTGTGAGGGCCACGTCTGTCTTCTTCTGCAAAAGCTGCAGCTGTGTCTGTGGGCTTGGGACAAGTCCCCTTGATATGGGGATATCGGTGAAGGAGAACTGGGTTCCTGGTGAAACAGATGATGCAACTACCGGTGCAGTGGTAGTTGCACTTGTGGACATAGCGGTTGATGGTGGTGTATTTGGACTGATCGGGTTGTCAATAAGGCTTGGTGGTAGAGTTAGATTTGACGGTTTGCTGGTATTGAAGTTGTCTGTACTGTCTTGGGTACTTGTACTTGTAGTTGGCAGTGACTGCAAGTGAGGAGGGAGTGGTAGCAGAGGCTGCCCTGCTGCTACAGCCAGTTCAGGGGGTTGTATGTTCGCCTTCTTGGTTCTTTTACGCCTCTTTTTGGGTTGTGGCTTTGGTTGCGACACAGGTTGAATTTGGGGACCGCTGGGTAAGACTTGAGGAGGCTGATTGGCCTGTGTCATGTTCACCTGTGGGAAAAACTGAGGGATCTGATTCCAGAAACTAGGCGGAGGCTGGAGAGGGCGTTGCTGGGGAACACCCATGGAATTCCAGAGGTTTCCAGCTCCTTGCGGAGAGAAGAGGGAGGCGACTCCTTGGGTTTGTAAACCCTGGACATGCTGGAGGGAGGGTCTGGTGATCTGCTGGACAGAAACTCCAGGTACGGCGAAGTTTGGGCCTGTCACTGATGCTCCTAGTCCATGTCCAGGGACCATCATTCCTGGAGTGGGAGTCAATGCTGGAACAACTGGCGAGGACACGGGGGTAGGGGATGGGGGTACAAGGGGAGGGCCAGGAGGCAGCTGGGGTGTGCCTGACGGGGTCGGTGGAGGGGGTGAGAACAGGCTACGTTGTGCCTCAGGTGGGGGAGGTGGGAGAGAGATGGTCTCCCCGTTCTCAACCTGCACCGTCAGAATCCCAAGCTTGTGAAGGTTGAGGTCGCCTCGCTGGGCCAATTCTCTGAGACGAGCTGCAGCTTCTTTTGGGATGTTGAAGGTGACGCGGACACTGTTCCATGGCTCAACTTTGGACAGGTTCACAGAGTTACCTTCTGTTAGGCAAAACAGAAATAAAGACAAAATAAATCAATTGTAACACAAAGTTCAACAAAAAATTGTAAATCCTTGACTGTCATTTATTATTCAGAACTCTTGGACAGTGTTTAAAACCCCTGTAATATCCCCTAATGGCATGAAAGAAACCAGACAATCTTTCATATTGCTAGGTTTTTTTTAAACTGTTTCCTCAGTAAAGCATGTGAGCTAAATGTCAAACAATCTTAAATATTCCACGTTATAATAATCTTCTTTGATTAGGCTACGATCTGATTATCCCCTAAGATTGATACATCCGGACGTAGTTAACGAACTGACAGAAATAAAAAAGCCTGAGTCAGCCCCAATCACCAAGAAAACATAAACCATCGCCATATTTTTTGGGTACATGTAGCATCATGATGGATTAAGGATTGCAGGGGACTAGAAATCAAAATTTGAGTTCAAGTGAAAAACAAAAAGTGTGACCGGTACCTTGCGGTATGCTGGTTTTGGAAAATGAACGAAACTTCACGGCAAAAGATGCCCAGAACAAAAATGTAAACAATTTCAACTCATGTTGAAGCCAAAGCCTAGTTTGACTTCAGGGCAATTCCGTAAAATCCAACATATGTCTGACCACATGATGATCATGTACAAGGTCGCTAAGGTGGTGGTACATGTACATTGTAGCTTAGTTTGCATTGGTCTGTAATTGTTTTCTACTCATTAGATGTCACATATTACTGATGTATCACATTCACTTTTCCAACAGCAGCTCAAAGTGTCTCACAAGAACGTCTGGATTTACAGAATTGCCCATCGGCAAAGAGCTACTTTGCATCCTTCTCTCCACTGTACATTCCTAAAGTGAAACAAAAACTATGACCAAACCTTAAAACTTAAAAACGCAAAACCTTAAAACTTAAAAATGCAAAGCCTTCAAACTTACTGGATTTTGATAGACCTTCGAGTGCAGTCTTTATCTTAGCTAGTCTCTCCTCAAGATCTTTATCAGAAACATTGCCAGTGCAGGTCAAGACAAGTTTAGCTGGCGGCAACTTCATGGTTTATCTTGACTTCTAAATCTGGGGAGGAAAAACAAAAAACAAAACTATTTGGGGTTATTATTCAGGCAAGGTTGATCGTTTCATTTATCTTCAAAGTGTGATTAAAAGATTCGAAAACATAAAATATTTTTACAGGAAAAGTTGGAAGTGGATAAGGAAACTTCACATGCAAATTAAAAATGCATCAGTTGAAACGAACATGTTTGTTTGCATCAAAGGTGCGGCCTGCTGCAAGTTGCAACGTAAGTTACATGAATGTATGGTGTACAAAAAGGTTTTAAAAATTGGTTCTGTAAAATACACTGTATTTTTAACAAGTCGAGGTCTTTTTTTTTCCCCTCAAATTTCTTCAGATGTACAATGTAAGTGTACTTTAAATATTGGAGAAATGACGTGTCGCATAACATTTCGAGTTTTTTCATGCGACTCTAGGCGCTGTTATTGACACCACGTTTACGGATCTAGATCGTGGGTAATATTTAAGCAATTTCCCAAATTTCTTTTTCCCGACAAATGCAAAATGATGAATGTTGCAACCTGACGTCACTTGAAAGCTGACGCATCATCTCCATTAAGGTCAGTCATTGCAAAAACATTGAAAACGCATGAATCTGGGAGTGGGAAACATTTCCAATTTTCTTGACTCTCCAAAGACTTTGCACTGCTGAAGTAGCGTCAGGAGGCAACATCCATTTCGAGCTTTGTCGAATTGGTGAAAACAATTCTTGAAAAAAAGTTTAGTTTCACTTTCAAGATTTAATTTTTATTTATCAAATGATCAGGAACTGTCGATGATCCAGAACTGTCACCGTGGTCACAGCACTGACTCATTGCTTTCGAGTCAACTCGTACCTTGGGCGACTCGTACCTTGGACAACTCGTACCTTGGACAACTCGTACCTTGGACATCTCGTACCTTGGATAACTCGTACCTTGGACAACTCGTACCTTCAATTAAGACGACTCGTACCATCAGAATAAAAAGTAGAGTACATGTACACTGTACGTGCGCGACTTAGTGTGTGGTTCCTTGACTCCCAAACGATACGATTCTTTTCAAGTCAAAGTTAATTTCCTTCTCACAGAACCACATTCAAGATCTAATGGCTTTGCCAGGCAGCATTAGTTTACGCATTGGGCCTGGCGGGCCGGCCTCCGAGGGCGCGAGCAGCGGTCGGTCGTGCGCGGTACCGATGCCGGTGACTCGGAAGCGGCCGGCGGTTTAACAAGTACACCCAAAGTGTCGCTCATCTATTGAAGCGTCGCTCATCTATAGAAGTGTCACTCATCTATAGAAGTGTCACTCATCTATTGAATTTTATAGTGGAGAAACTTCAGATGCGGATTTGGTGTGGTTTAATTATGCAATACAGCCTAACCACCGTAACATCCTGTTTCCAGAGCGAGCTTTATTAAACTCTATTAAAACCAACCGACAAAATTTATAAAAATCAAATTTAAACATTTAATGTGTCTAAATAAAGTAATTTCTGCGTTTTCTTGTGAAGTCTAATAACCAAAGTATACAAGAGCAGTCAGTACTTTTAAATGATTCAGTCCTTTCCTAGCTATAAGTCTGAAAGTCTAAAATGTAAAAAAAAAAATTCACAGTTGGTTTATTCATCAACTGGTTTATTCGAAACATTTACAAATTGGGGGCGGGGGTTTGGCCACTTTTTTCTTCATATATATATCATCTCAATGATGGTCATTCATTGTAGAAATGATGGTAAGACGTGAATCTTGGATAAAAACATCAGTTCCATAATATTTTCACGTAGCCTAAGTCTCTAAACGTAACGGCAGACTGCATCAATGTCACCGTGCACAGACGTCCATATTGACCGGTCAGCGCGGCGCAAGAACCGTGTTACTTTGCACGGATGCCGCGTGGGCCTGTGCATGCCGCGCACACAGTGCGTGTAAGCTGCCGCGGCCGGCTTCGCGCTAAATAAATTCCTCTTTTTGGGGGCCCGGGGAAAGAGACCCCATACCAAAAAGAGATTCACCTTTATTTTAATAAGCAGTCCACTTCCAATGAGTTACGGTCCACTTATTTCAGCCTCGGATCATTATCCTAATTGACGGTACGACTTGTCTTACGCGTGATGGTACGAGTCGTCTTAACTGAAGGTACGACTTGCCGAAGGTACGAGTTGTCCAAGGTACGACTCGGTATAATGACGTCGAGTTGAAGGTACGAGTTGTCCAAGGTACGAGTTGCCCAAGGTACGAGATGACCTGTTACCGACTCATTGATAATTATTATTATTATTTTTATTAACAAATACGTATTCCCAAATAGCCTCGCGAAATCGGGAAGCGGTACCGGTTCAGAAGCCACTACCGATAAACCGAAACGACAAAACTGGAGAACGTGCTATCCTAAAACCATGCTAGGTAAAACGGTACAACTAAACGAAAGCAAGTCAGCCATGCGTGTAAATTCACTTCCTGCATAGCAAAGCATACGCAGAACACTGCACAAAATCAACAGCGCTGTGCATTTGTAAAATGAAACACTTCGTTCACCCAATTAAAAGAATAATATGTTACATATTTCAAAATAACATACTTCTCTGATACATAAAGCATTCATCGGAGTCCGTCTTTCTTGCAAAAGTCGTCAGATTTATCAGCTTTTCATGATTTTCGGAGTCTTTTCTGGATCGATTATACAAAGAAACACTCCAGGGGAACCTTCGCTGGTGCCTTGACCACTATATTAATATCTCACCGTTCATTTTTCCCTCCCAGGCGCGCGTACCAGGGAACGATTTATTTTACACCGCTTGAGGGCGCTACACCTAATTCATGAGTTCTTGTATTCTTCTAGTTAGACTGGGTAAAATAATTAAAAGTCATGGATAATAATTATTTAGGCCTATGGCTGTTCAAACTCGTCAGAGATCGTTATCACGGACACAAAAAGAACTCCCCCGCTGCACTACGAATTTCTAAACTGCGCTCCGCTTTTTCAACTCGAGCAAACTGGCTGAAAAGGGCAGGATGCTTTTTCTAATTCCTCAATTCCTTTCCTAAGGCGTAGTCTACCTTCGAAATCTAAGCATGTGATTTTTCCTGTTTTATTTCACTGGTATTGTTTCAGGGCTGATTTCACTGGTGTTGTTTCAGGGCTGCTGTGTATAAAGACTTAATGAGGACATACCAGCACAAGGGCGGATCCGGGGGAGGGCAACGGGGGCCATGCCCCCCCCCCCCAAAAAGAAACCAAGGTGTGTTTGTGTGGCGTCGAAATAAAGTCAGGCACTGCGTACACCCATCATCTTTTCCTCCAAAAGATTCGGTTAAAGTGGTAAGAAAAAGCCTCAGATCGCACCATAGAGCATCTAATTCATTTTTTTGAAACCCACGCCGTAATTTTTGGGACTTGGGACCCACATTTTGGGGAACCAATTTTTTTTTTGCCCCCCCCCCCCCAAAAAAAATTGTGTTCTGGATCCGCCGTTGTACCAGCATAATTATAAGAGACTGCATGATGTCACTGCGGCCGGCGGATAGTTAAGGCAGTTGTAACCTCCGTCGAGAGGAAACTCAGCGCGATAAATAAAAACAGAGGGGAAATAATTAAAAATTAATTCATGCAGATGCTGAGAAGTTTCTGCATCCTCACCGTACCAAGAGATGGGAGGGGGTCTATCATCCTGACTTTCGTCCGGACATAGCCGAGAAGTCTGTTGTGCAAAAAAAGAGAGGTGTCATATGGGTCACCACCAAAAGCTGTACTTACTGAAAGTCATCATGGGAATTATTCAGGTCACGCACGCCTTTTAAGAATCGTGCTGCATGACTGAAAGAAATTTCGGACACTCACAAAACCAACAACTTAAAGTGACCCTCCATATGCGCACCTGTAAAAGCCGGGTCACGGTAAAATAAAAAAAAATTGATCTGACGATTGACAGAGTGTGAAATAAAAAATTGAATAATCTTTTAAATAATTGATTTTGAGGACCGGGAAATGGCAGTGTATAGGGGTCAGGTTTTTGACGGTGGTCAAAATTATGAGGCCGCGGCCCAGCCTAGTGAAGACCATAAGACGGGTTTGGGTCAAGGTAATTAGTAGACAAATAAAAAACGTTGCCTAATTCTTAGACACAAGAATTTGAAGCAGACGTCATTTTGCTTTCCCAATTTAAAAACTTTAAATTTTGAAAATGATTTATCGGATGTCACCAGAGAGGAAGATATCACTTTAGTCAGTTTTGAAAATTAATAGCCGACCGTCATTAACCAAGGGGTGCAGACTGACAGAATGTAACAGGCTAGAGATTTTAATACGAAAATTGGGACGCTGATAGAAGCAACATCGGGACGTTGACAATACATAAACGGAACGAATATCCATTTTGCAATGTGCAAACAAAACGTGTCTGCCCGCCTAATAGACATCATAACTATTTGTGCTCCAGTTTTGTATGAGATATTATAGGCCCACTAGCAAACAATAAAAGTAATCAATTTAAACGTTTGTGATATGGAACGTTATTAGTTGCCCTTGAACAATTTATTTCATTTCCGACAAAAAAATATGCATACGTCAACCTAAGCGCCCACTCCAGCCGGTGTCCATATCGGTGACCCCGATGGGATCTACAGTTCCAAGTAGTTGGTATAACTGTTAAAGTTATTATGCGGTTTGCTTGAGTTCCTTCGAGAGTCACTACCCAGTGCGTTTGGTGGAAAAAAATGTTGCAACCTGACGCCACTTTTTTCTTCAAATATCATCTCAATGGATGTCATTCATTGCAAGTATGATGGTAAGACTTGAATTTGGGACTGAGAAATATTTCCAATTTTGTTAGGAAATAGAAAATGTTTTTGACTCTCAATAGACTTTGTACACAATCGCGGAAGTGGCGTCAGGTTGCAACATTTTTTTCCCGTTTGGTCCTCGTCCTCCAATTTTCTATTTCCGGTGACCATTAATCAGAAAGAGCAAGCAGCGAAGACTGCATGTTTGGTCAACAACGGTAAAAAGCGATTCGAAATAGATGAACAGAGTTTGATGTTTTGATAATCATTCAACTTTCATAGAGAGGGCGAGCCATTTTGTCATCTCGTCAAGTTACTCGGTTTTTTTTCTTCAGAAAGGACAATTGCACGCCAATCAACTGAGTTGCATTCGAACCAACAACATTCGTTTCACTACCGGCAACAATTCCAAATTCCTAACCAACGTGAATGGAAGTTTCGCGTAATATAGGCGAAGCTTTGCCAATGAGAAATCCGTGCAGCTCGCAAACACTAAAAGACTTCACAAATTATTGATAACTCTTTCGAGAAGCTCGAATCCCGAAAGGCATATGATATCTTCATCACCTCCACTCCAACTTGTTTTGATCAGTTCACACGCATTCTTGCGGTTTTTGGCCGGGGGAAGGCAAAATAAATTTTTGCGTAAAATCTGTCCTTCCGCAGAAAAAAAATGTGTTTTGAATCAATCCGGACGTATTGCCGAAATCCCTAAAGACTCCGGAGATGCGAAATGCATGGAATCTTTTATAGACATCGTCACGTTCGCAGTGGACATTTGGATCAAATTTCAACTATAGTGTAATCGTGGCAAATTGTGACCTCACACTGGTCACTCCGTGTCCACTTATGTATTGGCCGTAACCAAAATAATCTTTTGACTACCAAGCAACAAGGAGATCCAGGAACTGGACCGCCGGCCGTTGACCAGTGCCCTAATCCAGGCCGAAAATTCCTGAGGATTGTCGAGGCATTTTTTTCGGAGGTCATAACTATTCTTTTCACTAATTAAAACGATTATGAGATTTGAAGAAAAACGCCCGGGGGTCATAATTTCACAGAAGTACCTAGCTTAGATGATAATCTTTTTTATAATTACCGTGATTTAACTAACTTTGGAATAAACAAGTCAAGGCCTTTTGTAGACCTGTTGTTCAGGAAACTATAAAGTCTCCGGTATTGTTAAAGTTCAAATTCAACCGTAAATCTTAATTGTCACCGCCCACAAGTCAAAACTTGACTTGATTGATTTTCTTAAGAAAGGAAAATTTCCAATTAAGTTTGAAAAAGGCTACGGGATGACGGGATGATAGATGTCCCTTTAGAAATCCACAAAATTGACACTGAAACGCTTAACAATGTAGGCGCCATGCACCCACGGTTCATATACATTGATAAATAAGTGAACCCACCCCCCCCACCCCCCCCCCCCCCAAAAGAGAAAAACCTACGTTTTTGTGTAGAGTTTTGATTTAATTGGAGCTGGAGCCAGATTTGATTTTGATAAATGATGAGACCGGTTGAAATCGCTTGACCCTCTTTTATACGGATACTATAGTATCCGTATAAAAGTACGGAACCTGGAATGCATGGAAAGTCACATTCACTTACACTTTTCCCACCGCACATGGGAACAATCTTTAAGTAATTTGGTTTATGCATTATTGTGAAGCTGTCACGCAAGACAATCCGCTATAATGGCACCATTGGGAATAACTACTGGCGTATGGTGAAAGAAGTTGACGATCAGGCCAGGTGAACAAACAAGGGGTTCCTTCTCGAGAAAACAAAAAGAGTTCACTCTGAAATTCAGATGGCATAAAATCGATCTCGTGCTTCTAGATTGAAATTTTCTAAAAGGAATTTGTGTGAAGGCTGTAATGTTTTTCAATTGGAAATGGAATTTTAATACATTTCGGACTTGCGCTTATGCTAGGTTCACACATTCCTGAATTATTGCAACGACTAATAACCCGATCTATCCCGAATACAAATTCTTGATGGCATCGGGAGAAATTAGCCCCGATTCGCTGTTTGTAAGAATAAGCTTAAGAATGAAACAAAAATAATCATGAACTAGGTACGAATTGGAAGCCGAATCAGACCGAATCAAGCCAAATTATTGCGATTTAGTGCAGAATAAAAACGAAATATTGTAGCTATTTTGTCAAGAATAATATACGAATAATTCTAGAATCATCCAGAATGACCCTGAATCATGCCAATTTAGTGTACTCGTAATTTAATATTCGTACATTTCTTGAAACATTCGTAATGATTCGGCACGATTTTGGACTATTTATTAACACCAAGAATAACTCTACGTAACTTGTAAGAATTCCGTAAGAATATCCAGAGTGCTGTAAGAATATCCAGAATTAGTAATGAATACAAGAGTAAACCAACAATTGAAATTGGTTACCGAATCACCCCGACAATTTTGAACACGTCCAAAATTGTCTGGGCGCTTCCCGATCTTTAACGATCTTTCACCAAACTAACAGAAACATCCCGAGGCAGCCAAGAACCATTCCCGATTCCTCAAGAATTGCCATTGGCGGCGATTCGGCTTTAAAAATCGGGAATGTGTGAACCTAGCATTACCGTTATAAGTTTAAACCAGCGTAAAGGTACAATTCTGTTCACAAAGGGAGCACTGGCAAGTGGATTTTTTTTTGAGACTCACATCACATGTGTTCCCATGGAAGTCTTAAAAAATAATTTGTTTACTGTCTACGATAAACCCACAAAAGATCCTTGGAAATTAGGAGAAAATGCGCACCGTCGTAAAAAAGTGACCCCCAAACCGATAGTCCGGTTTGGCTAAACTTGGATCACGGCCAAGGCTTACATACGTCACAACCTCCAATGCGCTATAATTGGTCTCTCCGGCCTGACGCGCGTGACACGTCCTCCAATCAGAGTTACATAAGTTCGGTGCGTGGGCGGCTCGGGGCCAATCGCTGCAGATATAAGGCGGTGGGCGCGCGCTGGCTGACCAATTATCTCGACGTCAACACAAGTACCGAAACAACTGCAAGAAATACGGTAAGGCTGCTTCTAAACTTTGTAGGACTACTTTTGTTATGTGCTCCACAATTTTGAGTTTTGGTTATTATTGCTGGTATTTTTTAGTGAAGAAACTATCCAACACTTACGGAGTTTTGGAATTCCAAGCCGTGCATTGCGAAGGTGTTATGATGTTTCCCTTTTCAAGCCGAACTTTTGTCTCATTAAAAAAATATATAACTCTTTCTATACAATTTACTTTTACCCGTAGGAGCAAGAAAACGTCATCATGACATCACGAGCCCTTCTCTACCTCTCGCTCCTTGGGCTCTGCGTCCTCGTTGTCATGGCAACGGTAGCAGAAACCGAGGATGCGGCAGACACCGAGACGGACCTGACAGATCACCGCGTCGAGAGGCGAAGCCTGATGGAGACGCTGCTGGCCAAGAGATCGGTGGGCACCGGTGAGGAAGGCCAAGGGGAGACGGAAACAACGGGGAAGAGGAAGGGCCGACGAAGGGGGAAAGGACGCGGGAAAGGGAAAGGAAAGGGCAAAGGAAGAGGCAGGGGAAGACGCAACAAGGGACCACCACAATATGCAAGTAAGTCCAAAAGAGAACTTTTTAGTTTCTCGGAAGTGCGGCCAGAAAAGTGTTTGGTGAGATATAATTATTTGATGGTCAAATAAGTTGAAGTTATCGTTCGCTAAAACAAGCACGGTTGTCAATTTTGGGGCCCCCCAAAAAATTGGTCCCCCAAAAAGTGGGTCCAAAAAATTACGGCGTGAGGTTCGGGGCCTGCTCAAGGGCCACGAAAATTTGTGGGATTCAAGATGTTCTGCGGTGCGACCCGAGGCAATTTCTGAACCCTTAACCAATTTTGTTTGAGGAAAAGATGGTGGTTTACGCAGTGCCTGCTTTATTGCGACGTCACTTAACAAAAATTCGGGGTGTTTTTTTTGGGGGGGGGGGGGTCATGGCCCCCGTTGCCCCCCGGCCGGATCCATCCTTGGATGTTCTAAGAAACACCTCCCTCCACCTCCCCGCCCGACTAACGGGGAAGCGCAACACTCGTAAAATCTGGAGCTTGGAATAATAATTCATGCGTCTATTAAATCCTTGACCTTACGACAAAAGGATTAAAGACTTGTATTGACTTATTGATGATTAATCTGTTTGTTATTCTTTCTGTTGACAGGTTGCCTTCACCCCATGGGTATTACGTGCACCTGTGATATGAGATTTGCGAAGTTTAAGGATGATCCCGTCAAACAGTCTAAGTACTTCACCATATGCTAAGGTACGTAAAACACTGGAAATGAACAAAAATGTCTTTAAAAAAAACCAGCGACATATTGTCTATGTGCGAATGCCATTTGTTTTCGGTGCTCATTTAATAAAAGCAGAAACAAGAAAGAACGCATGAGCGCAAACCTCCGCCCAGGCTGAACAATTTCCCGCCACATTGTCAGTACAAAAAGAAATACTCGCATGGTGAAGAATCCTTAAAATAAAATCCTGGATCCAGACCCATATCCAGATCCAGATCAACAAAACCAACCAACCAACAAAATCCGATGAAAACATAACCTCCTTGGCGGAGGTAATAAAAAATGAAATGTTCATACTAGTCTAAATTTTCTGTCATCATTTCACCGATTCCTTATGATGACAGAAATGAAGTTTTGATGATGAATTTGTGTAATTCTCGTCAGATTGTTCTCAAATCGGTGCAAATAAAGTGTTGCAGTGACAGTTGTAAATTAATATATAATAATTAAATATATTTTATTTATTTTTGTTTTATATCTTTGGACAATAATGAAAAATCCACCCCCCCCCAAAAAAAATAGTCCTGGTCTAGACAAAGTTTGTTAAAACTGTCATCAAAGATGTTTCAGACCAAAGATCCATTTCCTGCAAGTATGCAGAGAACACAATAAAGTATTCATGACCAAGTTTTTGACGTGTGTGTTCAAAGAGAATTCGCGTCTCGGTGTGGTGTGCGATCCGTCTACAACCGAAACGATTTTGTGAATTGATCTCTTCATCCGTTGCAATTCTATTGTAGGTTAATTAAAATTATGCTTTTTTTCCCCCCACCTATCGCAGCTTCTCCAAATTCGAAGCGAAGGAGGGAACCACCTCAGAAGTATCCACCGACATCAAATCCCACCGTTAAAGTGACTCACCATATAAATTATGTTGACGACTGTTGACCCATTGCGTATATAGCCCGTGGCACCCAAGGACATTAATGTGCAAGGCCCAACTTATCACATGTAATGGCCCGCTGTACAATGTAGTATTCCCGTTTAAACGAAGGCCAAACCACAGACTGACACAAAGTGAGCGGCTATCACACGACTTCTGTCTGCGAAATTCTAAGAGTTTGAAATCTTAAAAGTCCGAGTAGGCCTATATGACACTTTCTGTGGAAGCGTGACTTTCTTGCTTCCTAAGTTTGACTTCGTTCAAGATTTCTTTCGAGTATAATCTTGCTGAAATAGTACTGTAACTTTCATGAATAATGCTGCTTACAGTTACAAACATGAGATGAAGGTCCATTTTGTCAGGCATGAGGTTTTTGCTATTTGATATTTTATTGCCAATTGTTTAATCTAAGGTGTAGGGAATATTTAATTTATAAGTTGAATTTATAAAATAAATCCTCCATTTTTTTGGAAATGAAGTTCCTTTATTACGCATATGCTGCTTTAAACTTACATTTCAACGGCTGAACAAGTGCTGCTGGTTGAAATAGCTGCAGGTGTTTCAATATTTTAGTTTCCATTAGAAACAAATGTTATTAAACCTTGTATAACTTACTTCTCAATATTTTGGCACGATTTCAACTCGACATAAGCTGCTGCATTAAGTTGTAAATCAACAATCAAGCTTTTTTACGATTTATGAAATGTAAATAAAGTTTACAGTTGTTAAAATAAGCAACTACATTAGATCAAGTTTGGTGTGTTTCTCTTGTAATAATTTGCAATTATGTTGCATGCAAATTATGCACCAAATAAAATTATATGGTATTTGGGTTATCAAAATATCAAACCCAAGAAGTAGCCCCAACCATGAGCGCCACGAGGGGGGGGGGGGGGGGGGGGGGGGGGGCAAGGGGGCACTTCCCCCTTCTCCCCCCCACGAGAAGAAAAAAGAAAGAAGAAAAAGAGAAGGCAAAAAAAGGGGGGGGGGGAAAGAAAAAGAGGGGCGAAATCATATTGTTGCTTATTTAACGGGTTGGGGGGCAAATTTCCCTGCCCACCCACCAAAAATGATCAATCGGGAAAATGCTGGGAAAAAATTTGGATTTTGGGGGGAAAAATGTGCTTTGCCCCCATCTAGAAAAAAATCCTGGCGACGCCCATGGCCCCAACGCACAGACACAGTTGATTTTAACTGGTTGTCTTTCAACAATCTTAAGGGACTTATTTTTTTTAAATATCAGAAAACATCAAAGTGAAAGCTCCAGACAAGATGTTATATTTCTATCTATCCCATCCTAATGATTTTATCCAAACTTCTAGGATATTAGATGATTTGATACGCACAAGAGATATATACAAAATGGAGGAGGGGAGGGTACTAAGTAGGGCATATCCATCTCTTACATATAGTAGACAAATGCCCATACTTTTTTCATTTTTACACGGGATATTTCACCCTTGAATCTTCCTGGATCGGCGTGAGGGGCGCGCCTGGCAGGACAGAGCGCCCTCCGTCGACGGCCAAGCAACAACCTGTTACCATGGCAGCCGAATCAGATGCCAGGAACACGATTGCCTTGGCAACCTCAGATGCCTCCCCAGGTCGGCCCAAGGGGTGGCGCTTCTGACTCAACTCAATTACCTGTTGAAATTTCAAGAAAGATTCAAGTCAACATTTCAATTTTTTATTTGCTGTTGTTTTTTATTACATGCATGTCCAAGTTCAACTTTTTGTAGTTTTTTTTTATAATAGAGTGCCTTACAGCACTTGGATGTATTATTCTCTCAAATTTTAACTATTATCCATTATTTTTATCAGTTAAAAAAAACATGCGCAGCATACCTTTGTGAACGATTTAATGGGTGAATCTGAAGAAGAAAAAAACCCTCAGTATTTTGAATATCAAGCAGGAATTTCTTTCATAGAATAACTGAGATTGGGAATAAGTTGGATAGCATTTTAGAAGAAAGGTTCATATAAGTCATACCTTATCTATCTCAGCACCATTTCTTTCGAAGAGCGGCGTCATCGTGGCCCCAGGACTGAAACAAAACATAAATAGAATCGAGTGATTTTAATTCGAGCAGTAATTTTTGTGTGTGTGTGTATTTGTTTATGGTGTAAATCGAGGACACATAAGTGCAACATCATCGGTGAATTGAGGACAGGAACCAAATCGAGGACGCCCTTGATTAGAAAACGTGTACAAAACCAATGAGAACTGTTGCAAAAAAAGAGTATAAACAAAGAAAAAGGGAAGAGGAACAAAAGAAAATCCTCGATTTACACCATAAACAAACGTGCTAGTGTGTATGTTTGAGATCTTAACCTTTCTAAAAGTGAAGAAAATTGAAGCTAGACATGAATAGGAACTCACTTCACCGCATTGACTCGCACTCCCTGCTCAGCATATTCTATAATAAACAAAAGAACAGAAAATGAAAGTTTCATGGCAGAAAATTAAGACCTTACATGTAATTTAAGCTTATCCCTAACCTTCCCAACTCTATCAAAATCCACCCCCCCCGGGATTTTGGGAGGCAAGCCGTGAGTACCAAGTCCATCAAAATCCACCTATAGCAGTGGTGGTCTTGTGGTGGATTTCAGCGGATTTGGTCCTGAAGCCTTAAGTGAATCAGGGTCAGTGATGGATTTGGCGGACTTGATTCATACTTAGTAAAAGACATGAGGGAGTCGGGGTTAATGCTTCCACATTAATCAAATTGTTTCACTTATTCTTTTAAAGCAGGGAAAGAAATGTTGTTTCCTGACACCAATAGTTTAAACCACATACATTTACATTTATTATCACAATGAAGGTCAGTCATTGCAAAAATGTGGAAAAAAAACATGAATCTGGGACTGAGAAACATTTCCAATTTTGGTAGAAATTTTTTTTTTTAAATGCATGCAACTCTCCATAGACTTTGTACACGGCCAAAGAAGTGGCGTCTGGATTCTGCATTCTTTCCTAGAGATGCATCTTCATCTAGATACATGGCAACAAGCCAAACTTGGCCATGACGCTGTTTAGGTCTTATCCAAAGTGCAACAATCTAACTTTTTTATTTACAGTAAGTAAAGAATATTAAAAGATGGGTAGGCTAACAACATCTTTTAGTTTATTAACCCTCCTATACAAATATACATTCTGTGTCAAGTAATCCTTTCAGTCAAAATCAGTCAAGTGACTGTTTTTAACAGTTAAGAGCTCCCAGCCTACATAAAGCAGAATTGACTGTTTATCTTGATACAGCTATGCTTTGACTGTGGGTGATTGGTTAGCCATCTGTGTATTCCACCTGTTGACTGATTTTGACTAGTCAACAGTGCTTGCTTGAAATATGATCTGACTGTTGGTGAATAGCCTGTGTAAAAGGCACGGCAGGGGAAGAGGATTGATTTTTTGACTGTCTGTGACTGTTCAGATAGCAGGAGGGTTAATGGAAAGTCTTTGCTTCATACTACCTTCGGATGTGGTGTATGTTAGGCCATCGATTCCCGCCTTGGACATGGCGTACACCAGACTACTGGGATGCTGTAAAACCAAATAGGAAGATAAAACCTGAAATATGAGGCTCTGCTTCTTTTGAATGAAATATTTTAAAAGAGCATCAAATTAAAATTTAATTGACATTTTTTCAGGATTCTTAGGGAATTTGACAATAATTCCTATTTTGCCAATCAAAAATGTTTTCATTTTCTCTATTACAAAGTCTCTACCATATCCTCTTCAGGCACTGAACTGTAGCTCCATAAATATTTTCTCTTAAAGGTAAACGGTTGCATCATTTTTAAGTTCTTGCAGGAGCTTGTACATGTCACTTAGTGGTTGGTCTGTCTGTCTGTCTGTCGGGCTGTCTGTCTGTCGGTCGGGCTGTCTGTCTGTCTGTCCCCGAAAATTGACCAAAAGTATGGTGTTCCATATGTGCCATCGGCCTCACATTTTTCAGTGTCACATTTTTCAGCTCTGGCAGGGATCATTCTGATCGATTTCATGCAAGACTTTCATCCAAGACTTCTTGCAACACGGCCAGAGCTTATTGTGCACTTGCACTTGTTTGACATCAATTTCAGTTTGGGTTATTGTAGCAATTATCTACTCACTGCAGTGATGCTGGCACAGCTAGAGACATTGACGATAACACCTGAAACAAAATCGGGAAAAAAAAACTTATAAAAACATGACTGAATGAAATATTATTCAACAAAGGAAATTACGATTTTCAAAATGTCGATCACTGACCCTTGGATTGTGTAAGGTGTGGCAAGGCCAGCTGTGTCAAGACGAAGGGCGCCCTCAGGTTTAGTCTGAAGGTCTCGTCAAATCCGTCCATGGTTGAACTTTCCAAGGAGCCTAAGAATGGCTGGCCGGCACAATTTATCTGAAAAAAATAATTAAAAATTTGAACGTTTTGCAAAAAATAATCAATTTTCTTGTGATAGGGAAATAAATTTTTTCTTCAGATTACTGACCAATATTTGAGAAATGTTGCAAGGTTTCAGCTCGATGGGATACTACTTCTCAGTGATTGTGAACAATGTATCAAATCCAAAATGAAAATTTGAACATCAGTTTTTCAAAAAAACTTATCACTCACCAAAATATTGAGACATCCGAAATGCTCCACTGTTTCGTTCACTACCTTTTCTAAGAATGAATCTTCAGTTAAGTTGCCAGGCAACAACAGGACCTATAAATAAAATAAATAACAGTTTTTTTGAGCATGCCAAATGGACTTCCTTATTTCCCAACGACAGAATAACCACAATCTGTTTTACTTCAAGTGCTAGCTCACCAAGTCTTCTGCAAGTCCCTGTTTGACGCAGTCTTCTTTGACTTTCTGTAGTTTTTCTTCGCTGCGTCCGGTGAGAGCCACTTGGCAGCTTTGAGAGGCTAGTTGTTTGGCCGTCTCGGCCCCTATCCCTGAACTAGCACCTGCAAATGAAACAGAAGAATCAAGGCCTGTGCAAGTGCAGTGAGCGATTTCATTTTATAATATTACATAGTTAACTGCTTAAGGTAAAGGTCCCACGGCCAGCCATTACTGGCCGTAGGGGCAGTGGGATGTTAGAGGTCCACTGTGTCTTGGGCACGGCATATGAGTGGCGGGGCCCAGTCCTCTCCTCTCGCCGTCTTACCTTCCCTGAACGAATCAGGTACCCATTTTTCTCACTGTGGGGTCTTCAGACAGAAAGTGTTTTCCAGTTTTTGGTCCGAATGGTATTCGAACCGCCAACTTTCCACTCCGTAACTCCACATTCTCGGCTACGAGGCCCCTACTCGGCTACGAGGCCCCTAAAGTGTTAACTGTAACATGTTTCAATTTTGCTTCGCAAAGACATGCTTTTATTCAACTCTCTGTCAGATTTTGAATATAACAAATTAAAATTGTCTTGAATTTTTGGATGTGAATTAAAGGAAATCTCTCCCTGATGTGATTAAAATATTGAGGAGAAAAAAGGTTCAATGGCATTCATTTAAAAAAAAATTATACTGAACCTGAGCTCCAGGGAAAGCGACTGTTGGTTTTGCAAGAAGAAAGTTAACTTCGACTGCACTTAAATTGCTACCTTGACCAAACACATACAAATCTCAAGCAAATCTTAACCCAATCTTTGAAAGCAAAGAGTTGCTGTGCCTCAATATCACAAAGGTATGTGTAACAAATAATGTGTGCATCACAACATAAATTAAGAATGTTCAACGACTCACCAGTAATTAGGGCAACTTTCCTGCTGAACGATCCCATGATTGTGTAGAAATTTCCTCTCTTATTGATGCCAACAAAAGTATTCACATTCAGGGGCGAGCCATAATGATAAAAAAAACGCTTGTCATGCCCACACAAACTCATTCACAGATTCTGAGTACTACAGTGAAGCTATTCCAACATCAAGTCTGACTATATTCTGTATTTTGTGATGGTAGGTGTTTTCAACATTTCTATTCACAGTGCCACTGTACACAGGTAGTATATATGCAGCGCTAGACATTCCGTAGCCTACCAGCAACTGTGCAAGGCCGCTGCAGACATTTACACGACACTGAATACAGGACAAGGATAATAGTTTCAATTCTGTTTATTAGAATGGTCTACTTTGTGGATTTGCTGGCATGTTGCCGTATGTTGTTTAGTGCTGGGCTGTGTAAAGCCAGATGTTTGTACATCGCGTTGAGACGTGAATTTTACGTGGAAACCATTTAAAAAATATTATTCTTTATTGTAATGATCATGCAGATCAAGAGGCAGTGGAAGTCAAGTAATCGGGAGCTGGAGCTTCTTGCCAATTTTGAAATTAAACGAAGCTTTCAAACCAACACAGACACTCCAACAATTAAAATATAAATAATTCTGACAAAATCTTACATCTGATATAATGTAGATGTACATTCACAGGGTGAGGTAGAGAAAACAATGCAACTTTTTTTTATTTTTTTTTTTTATAAATGACTGTATAATCAACCCTCAAAATCACCTATGATAGTTATTGTAATTGTATGTATATGTTTACTGTACTGTAACCAATTTTATGTGTTTATTGTTTTAATTGTATTGTATTTTTAATTATTAGTCATTTTACGCGAGTCCACCAGTACAAATTCCTGTGATTGTTTTTAATCATTGGCTGAATAAATCTTTAAAAATCCTTAAATCTAGAAATCTAAGCATGTCATGATGAATTTGCAGCGTTATAATTCCATATTAGGCCAAACAAAATAATAAGTTGGTCTCTGGTCAGCGCGCGCGTCGATTTTAATCATGCGCATCAATCTTTTTTTTTTCCAAAATGTTCCGCGGTAGCTCCAACAGCGCCCTCTATTTCTGCACCTCCTCAATTTTTTTCTACCAAAGAACACCAAGGAATGGGAAATTGCACCAAGGCAAATGATCGAGAGCACCAAGGCAAATTATGGAGGACACCAATGTACATGAGGACACCAAAAAAGCAAAATAGTACCCCACCTTATCTGTACAATCCAAGCTTGAAGAAAAGAAAAAAAAGAAAAAAAAAAAAAAAAAAGCCGCGTCGCCGCGTCAATTCCGGAACTTTGGTCTGACCAGAGACCGAATATATATATTTTTTTTGGCCTTAGGACAATATTCTAAAGACTAGAGAAATACATAGATGACAAAACACACACACAAGAAGCAAAACGACTTTCATAATTTTTCAATCTTAATCAAGGGCTGACTCTATGGGCAAGATTAAGTATTATCAACTTACAAACTTTAAAAGTTATGAGCAAGAAATAGATGAGGTTCTAACGCAAAAATGAAATACATGTACATGTAAAAATATCTTGGCATTTTTCTCGGCATTTTTACATCTTGAGAAATGAAGCGTTACCGGTCTTCAACATCTTGATTTGTGTCCTGCCTTTGAGTGTTTGTTGTTTCTGTTGAAGATGTTTTCTGCTCTTCGTATGATTTCATGAGGGATGCCAGCCTGAGTTTCCTGGACTTCTTGTAATGGCGTCTTGATTTCAAGTGTCCTGTTCGGTGAAAAGTCATCCTAAGGTGTAATGGTGCAAAGAGGCTTGGGGTTGGGAGCCAAAAAGCTCACAGCAACAAACTTCTGATAAATTCACATTTGATCTTTAAGTCTCAGGTAAAGTTCCAAATCTCAGGTTTAATAATCTCAAAGCTCTTTTCAAGACAAAAGTTTTTGATCAAGTCTCACATCTCAGGTGGAGTCTCATCAAGAATCTGGTCAAGTCTTTAGTCTACCATTCCTCACTCAAGTCCAGGATTAAGTGTCAAGTCTCAGTTTCTTGATCCCCAATTGTTGGGCAAAGTCTTCCGTCTCTAGTCAAGTCCCAAGTCTCAGTATTTCCATGTCTTGGGAGGCATTCCAACTCTCATGTGGATCCTCCAATCTAAGGTGGAGTCTCAAATTTCAGGCCAAGTCCCAAGTCTTGGATCAAGTCTCAAGATTAGTCTGAAGTCTCCTGTCTAGGAAATAAATCTCAAAATCTAATTTCTAAGAATCTACTACTCACCCAGCCACTGCTGCTTGCCCACAAACACTCTTCCTTCGCAGATATCACAGACGTGTCTCGCCGAGGCCTCATCTGAGGGACTCCCTCCCTCATGTACCAAAGGAGCAACTGGTGGCTCCTTGCCCTGCAGGTCAAAAAAAATTCCTGCATTTTCAGAGATTTTCTTTGACAAATTTCCTTTTCTAATCATTTCTTTGTGAGATAATTTTTTAATGTACTACACAATGTATTTTGACACACGTTTGGACCATGGCAGTTTATTTGAGAAACAGAGCTTTCGTCATATTAGAGCTTTAAGAACACGGTAAGTAAGATTAGGACACATAACCTATCATCTCATGGCTCTAGATCCCAAATCAAGGAAGGTTATGACTACAAGATGCAAACCAACTCAGACTCACTTCCAAGATTGCATCCAGTATGTCCAGGGCTGGCTGTAGAACCTTCTCATGCCATGACGCTGGATCAGTGGAGTCCACAGCATACACTGGAGGTACATTGCTACCAGGGCCTGATGAGAACAGAAAATGATATCACTTGTGTCCTCAAAAAAGTGAGAGATTTACTCATGAAACTACTTAAGATGATACGCACGTCTCACGAATCTATTCTTGATCCATCTGGTTTGCCTGCGAGCGTACTGCCTTGTGGCAATCTTGAGCTTCTCAATTCCTTCCTTGAGGAGGGACTGAGCTCCCTCTGTCTCCCGGTCATCCTCCGGTAGGATAAGGTAAGGATGGAACTCCTTGAATCCGATGGATTGGAAGATGCCTTGAGTGTACAGGGTCTCACTGCCAAGGTTTTGGAAATTTAAAACAAAAATTAGACAGATTTTATCACTTAGAAATGTCTCAGATTATCGCAAGTAAGAACTCAAATCACTTGTAAAGAAGATGACCAATATTTTGTAAGCTGCACAGGGAGGTGTATTATGGTCAAATGTTTACATTCTTGTTAGAGATTTGTTGGACGTAAATTTGGAAATGCCATTTAAAGTGCCGCTATTATTAATTTTATGCTACTAACTCTTAAACCATCCCCTTCCCGATTCTGTGACCCACCTATCTGCTTGTGATTCTACTCTCTTTCTATTGTACTCGTGATGGAAGTCGGCCAGTTCCTTCAGAAGGCCCCTACAGAGCATATCATCGACTCTTTCATCAAGTCTTCGATCCAAAACTGGAAGAAGAAATAACACAAGGTTCACATGGATCCACTACGAATGAGACAAAACTGACTTGTATGTGCCTTGTAACGGCCTTGTGATTGACTTGTGATTGCCTTGTGATTGCCTTGTGATTGACTTGTGATTGACTTGTGATTGACTTGTGATTGAGTTATGATTGCCTTGTGATTGCCTTGTAATTGCCTTGTGATTGACTTGTGATTAACTTGTAATTGACTTGCGATTGCCTCGTCATTGCCTTGTGATTTACTTCTGATTGCCTTGTGATTAACTTGTGATTGACTTGTGATTGCCTTGTGACTGCCTTGTGATTGACTTGTGATTGCCTTGTGATTGACTTGTGATTGACTTTTGATTGACTTGTGAGCACATGACTACAACTTTTGGAGATAAATTAAAATTTGGAATGCTCCTCCAATTCAAATCAAGTGTTTCTCTTGTTCACACTCCAGGCAGTGCTATGTAATGCTTTCAGACAGCTTCACCAATTACATGTACTTTATCCTCAAGATGTAGGATGCATGAAGAGCACATACCGTCTCGATCACACTGCAGCCAGAGGATGCAAACGTCTTCAAAGCGGAGAGGACCTCCCAACGGTCCGCCTCCGTCCTCCTCCATCTGACCCGAGAGCACCTCGCTGTGAGTCCGACCCAACTGCTCATACACCTGAAGACTCCTGTTAGAAAATATTAAGTATTGTTGTCAAGACAGCCACTTTTACTCCAACTTCTGACTACACACGATTCGAGAACTGAAAACTTTGGCGACACTTCACCATTATAACGACTGCTATCATTGTAGTAAACCTCCCATTCTATGAACATTTGCTTCTTTTGAGTCAACAGATTGGCCAAACCTGATAATCTTGCGTCTGTTGTTTGGATGCAGTGTCTCTGCCCTGCAAGGATCCACCTCAGCCAGGATCTTGTACAAATCCTCTGTCGCTGTTCCCTCAACCTTTATTGTTATTGACTCCTCATTTTCAAGAACGTCATTGTCTTGTGATGTGTCCAAGGCATTCACAAACTCATTGGTTGCATCATACAGATCGAGACCTCGATCAGGCTGACTGGATTCTTTTGGTGAGCTCTCTTTACCCGTTTTGTCAAACGACTGCCAATCCATTCCAGTGACCTGTTGACTACAATGTGCTATCGCGGCTTGCCTTCTAGGAGTTTCTGTCTCTGTCCTGATCCTTTCTTCAGGCTTTGAGAGCTCTAAGCCTGGTGCTGTATCAGGTTTTCCTTTCCCAATTCCGGAAGAGCTCAAATCTGGATTGCTGCCCTTTCCTGTTGATCCACAAGAAGTATTACTGTCATCCAGATCATCAAAATCAGACGTCCTTGTCGTATTTTCTGCAGCAGATGGATCACTGATGATCCCTGATGAACTGGCGGCCACAGGATTTTGGTCTTGCTCCTTGTTGGTGGCATGGTTCATGTCGGAGTGTTTACGATTCTTCCTAATGTGAAGGGTAATTGGATCTCCTCTTGCCTCCAGAAGCAGGTCTTCCATCTTAGAATGCTGTGAGAAAAGAAACAACAAAGATCTTCATTTCAAAACAGAGATTTAGTTCTCAGAAAAAATGTAAAACAATTTGTGGAAGGCACAATGAACACTAAATTTTGGCTTACAAACCTTTAACTCCGAGTCGGGTTTTCTGAAAGCTCCGCATTGGAACAAAGAGTGAACAATTGTGCCACCTTTAACCAGTTCGTGCCGGAGGCCATGTATACACACAAAAGTTTTCCAAAAGTCAGATCGGATGACTGAAAAACCCGCAACAACCAAGGCCGGGAAATATCTGTCTGAGAGAGACACAGCCACCGACTGAGCCTGGAAATATGACTCTGCAGTCCCAGGGTGATGGCTTCGACCCGCCTGGCATTGTGGTCGAGTGAATATTAAACCTGTGCCTCGGTCCGTCTTGTCAAAATAAACCCAACTTCAACTGGTTAAGTACTTTTTAGTAAAAACCGAAGATGGATCAGGGAAATGATTTTACTTAATTTGTTTTTATTCATAGTCTTGCCACTTCCCAGCTCCGTCTATAATAAAGCTGCACCAACCTCTGTATCCAGCAACACTTTCCACAGAAGAGCCTCGATGTAATAATTGGTGCCACCAACAATCACTGGTACTCGGCCCTCTTTCAGTAGCCCCTCTATGACAGGGAGTGCTTTGTTGCGGAAGTCAACGACCGTGTACCGACTCAGAGGATTGAGGAAATCGATGAGGTGATGAGGGCAAGCTTGCTGTTCTTGCGCCGTGACTTTATTGGTGATAATGTCCAGACCCTTGTATACCTAGAGCAGTAGCATAATTAGGGGGGAAAGGCACACAATTAGAATTTATCCTGAATAATATTTTTTAACAGAATTTTTATGGCGATCGTGTAGTATAGTGTAGGGCCCGGTTCCTATAGGGAACAAAATCCACTTTAAAATTATTGGACCTACCAAACTAGTTGGTGACAATCTCAATAAACAGGTATTGTCATAGATAGAGGGCAGGGTTTTGATTTTTTGAGGGAAAATTGGGGGTAAAATGACAATGACAGCACGGCGACAACACGCGACCCAAAAATAAAGATGGCGAAACACCGCGCGATGTACGGTGAGCACGCACGCTGCGCTGAATGGCAAAGCACAAACCGCGCAGGAAAATCGTGATTTATACCCCAAGAAACTGTTCAAAATTGCAAAATGGGTGTCATTAAAATTGAGAAAAGTCTGCTTCTGATTGTGAAGGTGATTTTTGAGCAATCAAAAACATTTTTGACTCTAATTTGATCAAAACAAAACAGGGGCCCTACACTTCGATCGCCATATTTATCCGATTCCGAATAATTAAAAAAAAATGTGTAGGCCCTACACTACAGCTACACAGCCTCAGGTCAGATTTTTTGACAAAATAACCACAGTTACCTGCATGGAGTCCGCGCTTATGATCTCGCCACCCAATCGTTTACCTATCTGAATGGCTAGCTTTGACTTTCCCGTTCCAGTTGCCCCAAGAACCACGACAACTGGTAAACGGCGAAATACTGAGGTCATGGGCGCAGCCATCTTGTTTTGAAAAGCCCGCCCTCCTTTGACGTATCGGTATAGACTGTAACAGCGCCCTCTTGTGATTAAGAAATTGAACAGCAACTTTGAAGAGCGCCCCCTTGTGATCCTAAATATTCTTCGAAATTTTACAGCAACTATGAACAGCGTCCTCTATCAACGCTGAGAAACCACAAAATACGATGAAGAGCGCCCCCAGTGACCGATTTTTTCTCATCGCAAAATGTTAAGAGCGCCCTCTTGTGAGTTTTAATTTGATCACGATTATCGAAGTAGTCTGCGTTTCCTTGCAGTTTGGACCAAAAGAGGCAGAATTTAAATACTTTTTTGTAGATTTAAAAATAAAAGGAAGCAAACTTATCAACGTTTGTACCGAACTTTTAGTAATAATATATGAAAAGAGTGCAGAAAAGACAAATGAAATACATACCAATAAGTTGTGAAAGTATAATGACATCGTACGTTTGAGTGGAGGCGGTGGGGGGGGGGGGGGGCTGTAATTCTAATTAATAGATTGTGAAACATATTTGACCATTGGAGGAAACTTGACACGAAACATTAAAGTGTGGTAAAATTTACAGGGAAATTAATTCTTTGTCCCAAAAGTTTTATTTGTGTCTTCACAAACAAAATGGTTTTACATGTAATTAGCTACTCAGATTATGGGCCCTTCCTCCATTCTCATATACCTCCATGCTCATTTCATCACCTTCATTGAACACAGAAATGTCCAGCGGTTTCCCTGCGGTTGGCGACCGGTAACTATTGTCGTGGGAATCTGTAAGAATCTGTAAAGTGACTGTAACAACAACCAGAAGGCACTTAGGACACCAAAAACCTACAAAAGCGATTTATCAAAAATAAACTTTTTTTTATCAAACGTTCCCTCCTGAAGCTTTTCGTCCTTGGGAAAAGAGGCATCTAAAAGGAAACATTTGTGTCAATGAAAGAACTGGAATTTTCCTGAGCTGAGAGTGATTGGTTACTTCCACCCCTCCCGGCGATTGGGACAAAAGGGGCCCAATACAGATGAAGAGATATCCACCTGTTGGCTATTTTTTAATTGGGCGATTGGGGGGTGGACATGGTGATCTGAAGAGATGGTCTTTTTCCACAGATAAGAATGCAGGCTATACTTGCGGAAGAAGAACACGTCACTCCAACTATATGCTCCAACCAAATTGAAGGAACAAACTTTCATTGAAATTACGATGGTTATGATATGCAGTCCTCCTCACGACTTGCTCACGTTTCCTCTTCAAGTAGGCCTTATCTGTTAACCTTGCTATTCCAACCTGTTCCCTAAATTCAACCATTGAGAAAAATCCATTGCATCGTCAAAATAATTTACCATCTATTGGGGTTTCCTTTTTTTTCACCGGCCGTTGAATGCTTTCCAAAGCTGTGATTACGTTTTACATGTAAGACCTGCTGGATACAATTAACTTCCTTCATGTTAAATAAATAAACTTGACAACTTATTCGATCGTGTCCCAGTAATATTTTGAGTCGGCGTATAGGTAGAAACCTGTTCCAAAGTTTCAAGATATCTAAACATGAATCCTTATTTTAGTATTGCTCGTCTTGTCTCATTTTTCCCTCTCCAAGACCTACTCCTCCATCACGCCCAGCCCTCTTATCCTCTCACTCCCTTTCCAATTAATCTCTGGGAATCGATTCTGCGCTAATCATCTGTCACCTTTTGCAATCTTTTTCAACTTGCCAATCGAAGATATCCTACATCATCCCATATCATTGTAGTAACTTTCTACAGCAACCTCAGTTTTGTTCCCTCCACGATTTCGCACAGAGCCGACAACCAGAAGCAGTTCTTCTCCACTGAACTGTATGAGTCACCCCACAAACTTCTCTTTTTATCCGGCCAAAAAAAGTCTGGTCCATAAGTTGACCGCTCATGAAAAGATTTTTTTATCGGCGATACTTGGAAAAGGATGCTGGTCAAATTTGAATAAAATGTATTGAACGACCAGCTTCTTCGCGTCACTTGTATGACTTGGAGATTAACGGGGGCTGGCATTGTGCGAGTGGTCATTTCAGACGGTCACTGAACCAGCTGGACTGTGGTCACCTACCAGTCAGTCGGCCTCGATGGGCGGTCAGTACGCGTAGGGTGGGTAGCTTGGGGAGAATCCTCGGCAACAAATGTGCCCTGCTGAGACGGCGCAACCGCCCTCAAGACCAATTTAGCTACAATTAAAAATCTTGAGGTGTTACAAAACTTCTGGCTGCATTATTCGGCTACTTCGTTATGTCAAGAATGAGAGGACGGTGCACTAACTGAAATATATTTACTTCAAAATGTGTTTTCCTTTTCAGTTTATCCCGCAATCCATTTTTTTGCCATTCCTGCACTGCAGATGAATTGTTCAAAACCACATTAACCATGAAGGTCTATCGCTTCCTCCATGCATTGATCAAACCGAAACAAGCATTTTTTTCATCTTAGGGGATAATGAAAATAGAAAGACTTTTATTAGAACTAAACCAAAAAGGTATGTGGCGTTTCGTATTCCTGGAACTTTGGGAGAACATAAACTTGTGTTTTCGGCAAACATCTTTTGAGTTTAAAACTTTCGACAAACATTGCAACCTGACAAACGCAGGATGGATCCTTCCACTAGACCCTGTCCCTTTTTCACAATAGTCCAAGCATTGAGGCGTACCGATATTTGCAAATGGTACCGTGGAATTACTTCCGTGCCTGGGGTGCTCCTTAGGGGGCGTGAGCGCGGGGCGGGCTGGCTCAAGCCCTCATAATGAAGGGATTAGTTTATCAATACACAGCGCATTATAGAGATAACGATGGTAATTTATTACAAACTTCTGGATGCCTCAACAGCAAACTACATGTACTTACCATTATCAGTTGATAGAAAAGATAATTAACATCAGCAGAGATACGAAGTCAGGTAATTGTAGCAAGGAGCTCAATATTATTATCTTTTAATCAGTACTGGTTTTTTTTGTTTCCACAACTTACCTCCATGTCTGTAACCATGGAGATTATAAAAAAAAAATCACAATTGCGATCACGTGGTGCGAGGCAGCAACTTTTGAACTGCCACAATGTCGCAGCCCAAACCGAGGTATATATCCCGTCAGCGTTGATCACGTCATGAGTGGAACTTACTTTTCAAAATTACGGACGAAATCCTCGTCTTTTTTTAAATTTCAGACTGCAATCTCTCAAACATATCTTATGCTTTGCGGTTGTTATTACAAAAAAAATGCAACGCACCGTATTGATCCTGTATAACAAGTGTGAAGTTTTCAGTTGTGTTTCCACAATTCTTTTCTTCTCAAAATCCCTAACTAAGCGTCAATGAACTAATGATTACCTCTTAATAACTTTGGTCAGTCAAAAGGTAACACTAACGGGAAGAGGCGGGGAGTTGATCCCTGTATAATTAGCACGGTGACACTGTTGCGTTTTTGGGAAAAGCCGGATTAGTTAGAGCTCCGGCTAGACTAAGTGATATTGATCAACCACGGTATGACCCCCAACGCCCCTAGGAGATCCATGGGAGGATTAAAGACATACCATTCCCCCATGCCACGCTAGTGCACACCCCTTGGGGGTTGAAGGAGACAATACCGGTGGCCTCCATCACCGCATCCCTGATCTTCAGATCAAAGATTGACCGGACGCGTCAGGTAGAAAGAGAGCTTTTCAACTGGGATTGACATAGCCGGCTTTGTATGCAAACTATTCTGGTTGGTGGTCCGATCCGTGGGACGCGAGACGTTTCTCATCAGCTGGTTACTGCCGACAAAACTAGACGTCAATGATACCGATAGGATATCCCATTTCCACACAATTTGGCGAAATACTCAGATTATTCCCCAAGACGTTCCAACTATCAAGGAAGAGTGAATACCTATCCATTGCCACAATAACCCATCTAATATACAAGCTCTACACGTTCTGCATTTCGTAAGCGATTAATCAAAATTCACATATAACATTCCGATGAATAAAGGTTTAAATTTGTGATCCGTTCGGTTTTGTCTTTATTCAGACGTAACTTCACCTCTGCGAATGCCATCAGCAATTAACTTTCTCCTTACACGTTTCTCCGGCCTCGACATAGTGTCATGTCTCTTCGAATTTCCTCCTCGCTTCGTAACATTTTAAAAAATTTCTCAAGTCTTACAAAATACAATAGACCAACTTTATTATCCCAACCACCCCTTGATCCAACCATCCACATTTCAGTTCCATCCCTAGCCCCATCGAGTCGGATTCTCACACCAAAAATCCTCCAATTACTCGCAGAAAGTCTCAAAACTTTAGAACCCCGAATTGGAAAAAAAAAACATCATCCCTCTCGAGTACCAATGATTGGCAATTATGTACCCCTTCATTACACTCGTCCTTCGGTTAGTTCATGAACCCCCTGATCAAGGGGGGCAATTCCCCACCTTTTCACCCCTCTTGGCGACCCATCGATATTCGGACCCTCGGCCCTTTTCTACCCCACCGCCCCCGGACAAAATGTTTGTCTTTCCCTCTGCCCTCCCGGTACTGTGTTTGGTCGCTTCATTGTTAATGGGTACGTTAAGTATTCCTTTGTTGCTGTGACGGGTCTCTTACGATGAATAGAGCCTGAGCATCGGTTGAAAACTCTTGGGATTTAAACAGAATTGGTTAAAGATCAACAGGCATCGGTGTTTAAAATGATTATAGATCAGCAGAAAGAAAAGGGGATCGGATAGTTCAAACAAGTCATTGTTTAGTTTGAAAACAAACAGTTGCATTTCTGTCCTGCGATTCTCTGAAATCTGTTAACTTTTTTTTCAAAATAAATGCATGCTCTTTTCATGCATCGAAAATTGGCGATTATTCTTACAGCGATTATTCTTACAGGAAATATAGACACTATAGAGACAAACAAATAGAAATATTACTTGGAATTGGAAAATACCCCATGAGGTCTCAGTCTCACATAGCCTGATGCATTAGAAACTGCAGGGTGATGTAAAATATTTTTAAAAAAAATTGGCATTATATCATCAATGTCAAGGCTATCAAA